GTATGACACTCAATATAGTCGGGTCCACTTACAGACACACACACGCAGCGGAAAAAACAAGGGTGACGATATACAGGATCACGCACAAAACTCAAAACACACAGAACATGTGTACTCCCAGACACACTCAGCTCGAGACAACATAAAGCAGGCACACTCAAAATACACAGGCAGTGTATAACGACTTGTGGGAAGCTTTAATGTGAGGTCTTGTGACAGAAAATCGAATAATTTGCGCTTTTTCTTGAGCCGCTCAGTTAGGAACGATAGATTCTCAATAAAATATGTTTCTGGAAAAAATGTGGGTCAAGTATTATAAGCTGTACTAAAGATATTGTGTGTATTTTTAGGAGAACCCGTTGTAAATACCATCCAAGAAAGATGAAATTGCTCATTTCTTTGGTCACTGAACAGTGCCGTGGATTGATGCACGTGACGTGGATTGATGCACGTGACTTGGATTGATGCACGTGACGTAGAATGATGCACATGGCGTGGATTAACGGGGGAATCTTCTTCAGGTCGACATATAGTGGAACCCCGTTAATCCTAATAGCAGAGGGGTGGTGGGGTAGCCTAGTGGTTAAAACGTTCGCTCATCACGCCAAAGACCGGGTTCGATTCCCCACATGGGCACAATGTGTGAAGCCCATTTCTGGTGTCCCCGCCGTGTTATTGCTACAATATTGCTAAATGCGGCGTAAACTAAACTCACTCACTTACCTAATAGCAGAGGGTCCATTGAAATAGTCTGGTTAAAAACCATTCGTGTCATGAAACATGTTTTCGGACAGTCACAGTGATAACAGTTTGTAAGTGATACAAGGAGTAATCGTGTCTTCATTAACAAGGTTTCCACTCAGGGCTATACTGCTGCTATCACATGACAGTAACGGTCCGTTAATCAGCACAGCGACCATTCTTCACAGCGACAGTCCATATCTGCTGTGGCGCCGCGATTCACTAAGCAGAGTTCTATGAAATTTATGGTCATCGATTTGTATCCCAGGATTCCAGTCAATAGGTTTCTAGATTTATCAGCACCATTCCGACACTCGTTGGTACCAGTGAAATGGGACACGTCCTCATAGACCAAGCTGACACGCAGTGACATAAATGAAATACCGTTCAAACCGTATTAAGCCCAAAACGATATAGTGAGTGAGTGAGTTTGGTTTTACGCCGATATATTCCAGCAATATTACCGCGGGGGACACCAGAAATGGGCTTCACACATTGTACCCATGTGGGGAATCGAACCCGGGTCTTCGGAGTGATCGAGCGAACGCTTTAACCACTAGTCTACCCCCACCGCACAACACGATATAGACACACTTTATGGATAACTTCTCTATTTCGTGGGTGCGACGTTTCCATACAGATTATTGTGCCGTTGCAAAGTAGGTTGTACTGTACTGTACTTCCAAACTTCTGAAATGCCACTCTAATAAGAACCCAACACGGTCGCCCACTATGCCACCGAAGTGGGCGCCGTTGGGTAACAAGGTTGTGCCCCTGTTTCCTGTCAGATTCACTTAACGATGGGTTTGAATCCCGAGTTGTTGAGACCATTGAATTGTCAACGACATGCCTGTCTTCTCTCAAGTCATCTAAGTGGAAAAGGTCAGCATTCCATTAAAATCAAATATCGTTTTGAACACCTTTTGAAAAGTCTTAAAGCCAAACTCACATCACTTCACTACAATGTCAATAAAATGTGTTAGTTTTCGATGACTCTTGATCCCCCATGAATACGTCCAGTGACTGTCATTTCTGATTTATAAGCCTCTTTCGGGTTAGAGGACAGATGGTATCTACAAATGCGCCCTACCCTTGCTGATGATCATTGAGTGATCATGTTCTTTGATTTGGGTGACAACTTAGGATGCTGCGCACATCATAGTTACAGACTGGTGTCATGGCAGGAATATTGCTGAGCGCGGTAGGAAAAACAAAGAACAAAATCGTCTCAACAGACCGTTCCGTAATGAAATCTACTGCGGCATCCGTTCGTTGTTAATATGAAAAACAGGAAACATAATCACATACATATCATCATTATCTATGGCATTTAGTAACATTCCAACATGTTTGTCATTTCGTTCCATCCAAAAGCGTTTCCAATTCTGTTGTGTTGGAAAGATCAATGTTCTCTTAGTGTGATTGATATTCTTTCTTTTCAGCTTAATCATACTTAACTTCATTTGTCTCACCTAAACCCAAAAGTTGGATGATTTGTTAAGGTGTAAATCTGCCACTGATTCGCTTTCGTTATCATATTTTCTCATTTTTGTATCTCAGTCACCAAAGAATAAGCCTCCAAAGAATTTGGGAGAGCAAAATGATTATGCTAAGGGACATTTATGTCTCCTTACAAATCGCAGCCATAGGAACCCTACGTCACATTGTCTTGAAACTTCTGGGTCGTGGTCATCTACCCACTCATAACTAGATATACAGAGGAGACTCTATTTATTACATGATTATTACTTGACTCTATTTATTACATGATTATTACTTGACTTTATTTATTACATGATTATTACTTGACTCTATTTATTACATGATTATTACTTGACTCTATTTATTACATGATTATTACTTGACTCTATTTATTACATGTTGATTACATGATTTATTACATGATTATTACCTGACTATTTATTACATGATTATTACTTGACTCTATTTATTATATGATTATTACTTGACTCTATTTATTACATGATTATTACTTGACTCTATTTATTACATGATTAATGTTAATTAAGTTTAAACATTATTAATCCGAGAAAATTCGATTAACGGAATCCAAATTCCAAGTTGGGGCACGTTTTATGGATTGACAACTGGTTTGGGTTTTTTTGCAATGCAACGTCCTGGAGTACATGCTAACACTGTTATCAAGCAAGTGATACACAATATTATGCACAAGGAGAGTAAATACATGAAGGATATTCGAGTTTATACAACCGAAGTGGTTGAAGTACAGTGTGATGACATTGCTGATAGTTGCTGTGTTCATAGATAATAAGTCTATCTCATCTTCTATAGCGCCAAACACCAAGTGACTGCTCGCGGCGCTTAATCAGAATCTGATTAGTATTACCCCGGATAACCCAAGCTGCCTGTTAGGCGCTAGAAGGTTATAGTGACATGACTTTATCCAACCGGGTACCCATTTTCTGCTGGGTGAACAGGGGCAATTTTGAACAAACTCGCTTGCCACATGTATCACATGTGGGGCAGGACTGAAGTCCTAGAAACTCTCAGGAGTCAAGCTGCCAAACACGATCACCCATCCAAGGACTGTCCGAGCTCGACGTTGCTTAACTTCAACTGATTCATGACCTGAGCTCTGTGTGCAGGACCACACGCCACCACATGGCTATGAACCCAGATGGACAAAAATGCATCTTCAGTGAATCCACGCTGGTCTGGACTGCTGGTTTATCCAGACTGCTGAGGAGACCTACTAATGAACAAAAACAGGTTCCATTTACATGATTTCTTTATAACTACTGTATGGATAAACGGGGTTCAGCTGCAATGTACCAGTAATTCAACATGAACTCTTAATAATAATAACAATAATAAACGGATGTTTGTTGTGCGCCATAGTCCATACAGAGCATGCTCAAAGCGCTACACATAAAAGAGTCACTAGCTTTGGTGGGGAATATACGACAGTTCGTCAAAATGACCATCAGAATATTTGGCAGTTTAAAGGTGTAAAGGCTTTTGAAAGTTTAGGTTCTTAGTCCCGATTTAAATGCTTCTAAGGATGAAGCATTTTTATGGGAGAAGGAAGACGATTCCACGGGGTTGGCACTGCAAATTGGAATGATCTATGCCCAAAGTGGTTGACATGAACTTGGGGAACTGAGAAAAGATCTTGATTCTGGGAGAGGAGTCACGGGCAGGCATATAAGTTGACAACATCTCAGAGTGGTATTGATGAGCTAGGCCGTGACTGAGACCGTGACAAGAGTGAGGATCTTGAACTGAATTCTGGCTTCAACCGGGAACCAATGCAGACTATGGGGGATTGGGGTTATGTGAGACCATTTTGAAGTTTTTGGTGTCTGACTGTCTGAGTATAGATATTCCAAACAGTAGGCTATTGCAATTGTCAATCCTGGAGAGAACAAGTGACTGAATGAGAACTTAAGCTGCATCTGTGGTTACCAGCAGAGTGGAGATGGAAGTAGCCCACTACAGAGATGGTTCATAGTTTGCTCCTTGGTGAGACAAGGATCAAGATAAACACCTAGGTTCTTGACATTGGACGAAAGTGGGATATCTGCGATGTCCGTAGAGTTGATCCTTTTGAGACGTTGTGTTGTGCCAATCAACATAGATTCAGTCTTGTCTTCATTGAGCCTCAGCTCATTTGTCATCATCCATGAACTGATTGCCTTCGTGCACTGACTCACTGTTGATCTGGCTATCTGTACAATCTCTGGCTTGAGGAATCCATCAACTGGAAGTCGTCTGCAAATGCATGATATTCACATCAAAGTGATCAATGACCTTCTCCAAGTAGTTTGTGTTAAACACAAAAAGAAGTGGCCCAAGGACTGAGCCTTGGGGTACGCCACACTCAAGGATCGTTGACTCAGACATGCTTTCAGAAACAAGAACTGATTGACCATATGTCTTTATTTTCTTGGACCTAAGGCGTCTTGCTCAAATATAACAAATCTGACTCCATGAAACGTTTTTAATCTTATGCACGTGTACACTTCGATAGACACAGCTTTCATAGTGTTTTCTATAATACATCATATTGTCTTAAATTGTACTGATCTGGTTAGCCAAAGGGTTCTTATCAGACCTCGTGTATCCATACGATTTCCATCAACGACATGCATACCTTCAATTACCTTTCACAGGGATGAAACTGCTGGGGGTTGAACACTATGGACAGCGTCCAGACCTTGTGCTTCCTTCAGATTTCCACCCAACGACGATCCAGTGTATACCTTTTTCTTTCACAGAGATGAAACTGTTAGGGGTTGAACACTACGGACAGCGTCCAGCCGTCGAGGGCAACCTACTGACCATTATGTGTACAGCCCGCGGGTCAGGACAGATGAAATACCGTTGGTACAAGGACGGCTCCTTGCTGAACACCACGCTGAGTCAGAGGAATGCGTGGGAAATCCGAATCCCTCGGACCATCAGAAACAAGCAGATCAGCGTACTAAACATTGATGGTGTAGAGTTTTATGATAAAGGTGAGTACTTGAAATGTACTTGAATGGGTATGTTTGAAAATGAAAGTCGTCACAGTATGTCAGTAAATGCAGTTATTTGAATTTACATGACACCCGTAAAGATCCGGGTTAGAATTGGTCTTCAACAACCCATGCTTGTCATAAGAGATGACTAACAGAATCGGGTTTTCAGGTTATACATACTTGGTTGATACATGTCATCGTATCCCAATTGTGTAGATCGATGCTTATGCTGTTAATCACGGGATTGTCTGGTCCAGACTCGATTATTTACAGATCGCCATGTAGCTGGAATATTGCTGAGTACGGTGTTAAACAACAACAAAATTAGTTGCATAACTTATAGATAAAGCATACGGTATTAAACCTATAAGGACCTTCCGACTGATACCGTATTCTGGAATTTTTCCCAAAACGATTTCCTCCAGAAATTAGTGGAAAAAATCCTCGCTAACTAGTAAATACCACGTCTTTTCATACCATTAAGTCGAACTATCACGGAACCTGATGCAGAATAGTTGTCTGTTGCAGTACGATATAAGCATTCATGAATTATACAGAGCTTCATCTGCAAGAGGTCTTTTAAGAACTAATAAAACATTCATTTTGGAGGGGAAAATTCGGTATGCAAATGTTACTGATTATGGTTGGAATAATACATCACTTAGCAACATCATTATAAATTTAGTATAGTCAGTAAATATACACATGCGTGTACTTTGAAGGGGAAAGTTTCCAGGACACTGAAAATGAGGATTCTAGGAGTAACTAATATCTTTGCGAGTAAGGAGAATGAATTTCCAGTAAAAGTATTTATGAAATATGTAAAAAGTACGAAACGGACCCCCATCATTAGTTTATATGTTATTTTAGCAAGTATATATACATTATGGAATTAGAATATTTGAATACTTTACTTTGGCAATGTTCAACGGTGGATTTCATTTTTTCAGTTCCCCCAAATTCTTGTGAATTTTGAACATAAAACAACCCATTATCCGCCATCCATTATTCATTGTTGACGTTATCTCATCTCCATAACTGCATAACCTCCACATATGTAACACTCGACTGTTGATTGAATCATACAAGGAACCTTGTCACGCTGCCATTCTCACAAGAAAAGGCAAAAAGTGTCAGAATTTATTAAAATGCAGAAGCCCTTTTTCAACGTATTTTGCGCTTTGGTTAAGTTGCCCGACAATGCGACAATGTCCCTTCTAGGATTCCATACAAGTTGCCTGGATGTTTTTGTCCTCTCGTAAGATATGTTGCATTCTTAACCTGTATGCTTTTATATAGTTCCCTCTAGAGAAGAATACAAGAACGCTACATTACACGCATTACGTACTGACACATGGCAGATACACTATGCATCGAAACGAGCAAGCAAACATGATTTCGGAATGTGTATGCATAAGTTCATATATGAAAACCTCAGCGACAACCTTTGGACAATAAAGCTCTGAAGTCTTTTTGAAAGGACCACTGTGAAACATCAGTGCAAAAGAATACCCAGTTTTGACTATATCCAGAAACAGATTCCAATCGGTACAAATGGCAAAAAACTGTGTAACTCATATGTATGAGTCACTGAAAATCAGTGATGACACCAGGTGTTCGCGGAAATGGTAAGCATGCCATTCACACACATTCACCGAAATAATGTAAGTGATTCGCACAGGGTAATTTTTTTCAGGTACCTACTACAAATGCTCATGACATGATTTTAATGGCAAATGTCTGACGGCTACGCTCTTCCACAAATACACACTGTTTTTCGTCCATGACAGGGTCTACTACCAAACACTATTCCAAACACGATTGAACTTATGAGTTGTGCAATGGCAAAGCTTAACTACCTGATCCAGTTTATGGTCTCTTGCGAACAGTATTGTAGCTCACCTTTCTGAAAGTCAAAATCAATCTTACACGAACTTCAAAAGGGTCGTTAAAAATGTAATAGATAATTCATACAAAACCTTCGCAGTAGATTTAGACATCTCTTTAATATTCCATAGTGTGTATGATATAATATTCAGGAAAAGGGTAATAAAGAACCGATAGCACCCACTATCGGCTGGACAAAGTATATATGTATCTCAAATACCTTCATTATATCAGGAGATGGCCATAATACCACCTGAGTAAATGAGCTGAAATGAACACATCGTGCACAGAGGTAATAGGTGGAGGTGTTTGAGGCATGTCCATATCAATGATATGTTGGTTCATTATTGTTTTGTTTCAATGAGTTTCAATAATACGTGAAAATGTTATTACAAACTGACACAATCATGCATGGCCAACAACTATGTTCGATATTGTGCACAGGCAAGTATTGGCTCAACGAATATATACTCCCCATCGAAAGTTTAGACTCACTAGTGTAAATGTAGCCATTTACTTAAGTCAACTGTTCTAAAATAAATTTTGCACAAGTTTCCATACTGTTTAAAGGTACTGTTTACACATGAACTGATGTATTGCAAAACACGTTTGTAACGGTGAAAAGATTATTGTCATGAGTTCAATAAATGATGAAACTCAGTGAAAATTGGCGAATTCTTAACAAAACTTTACACCAAAACGCGGCTGTTCACATGCATGATATTTGCACATGTTTACAGCAATTTGATGTATTATCCTCGTGCAATTCATCTGCATAAGGTTTTCAGTTGGTTCCCCTAGTTAGTGTAGAAATTCATCTTTGATGTAACCACATATATATATACATAACATGTAGTGAGTACTTTAAGTGAGTCTAAACTTTTGATGGGTAGTATATGATAACTGACATGCATTCAGTGACTCGTCATGTGTTCGTGGTACATCAAGTATTTTTCATATTGTACGTTGTCAAAGGTTAGCTACATGTATGTCTGATAATATACACGTGTTCAATTTCTAAAGATTGGGGTAGTTTCTCATCGGTAAATTATTATTATATTTCTTTATTAGGTGAATTTACCTGCGAAATCGAGGATTTTAAAGAGGTAGACAATGCATCTGTCATCGTTGATGTCATCACGCTCCCTCTTTTGGAAATGAGCCCTCTGGCGGTGTCACTAACGAAAGGGGGCGCTACAAGCTTCCGGTGTCTCTCCCCTGACGATACGATAGAGAAAGGCTCTTTCAGCTATAAGTGGCTCAAGAACGACAACCAAATACCACCTGATTCTACCTCTGAAATAATAGAAGATGTTTTTCCCACTGGGAGACGTCTCAACATCAGAAATGCACAACACAGCGCAAATTACACATGCATCATCACAAACCCAGCAGGATCCACCAATAAAACTGCTTTTCTCTTCGTCAAGGAACCAGGTACTGTCGATGAGTTATGTATGGTTTTAGGTTCCACGACGCATTAAGTTGTATCCCAGTAATATTACGGCGTGTCAGTTTAATGTCGGGGTGAAGCCAAAGAAATGGCAACTGGTGAACTCCGACGATTGCAGACCAACCAAGAATCGTAATCATCTAAATATGAGATCGGAATAAAAATATCATTATCTCACACTTACTGAACGGTGCGAATTGTGTCGTAGACGATTATACCCCGAGTGCAATGATTCGCCACTTCCTTCATGACCTTTGTCCAAATTAGGTATTTCTTTACCATCTCCAAAATCATAACTGTTAAAAGCTGTATTTTATGTTATTGTTATTATTATTTTGTGTTTGTTATGTCTCACAACACGAATCCATCATACGGTTTGATGTTTAGATTTTTACATGGCCCCTCTCAACGCGAAATATTTTCTTTGTGGTACTCTAAAACCTTGTATGGGGTACTTCTATCTTTCAGAGGATATTCAAGGTTACTGTCTTCAAGATATTTACGAGGGCATCACTTGGAAGAAAACCTTTGGAGGATGTTTTGATGTACAACGTTGTCCAACAGATACCGGAGGTAACCATTCCCTTTAACATCATTCTTGAATACTATATCGTGTATACTATGAAATATTGAAGAGTTGCCTAAATCTATTCTGAGATTTGTGAATGAATCCTGTTTTACAGTAAATGTATGGCTCTACGTATCTTAAACCTTGTTGGACTATCCTATCCATGTAAAAGGATCATTTCTAATGTGTACCTCTGCTTTGTGTAAAGCATATCATATTAGTAAAGTATGTGTACGCTGGAGCTTTGATGTTATCTGTTTGATGATTTATCATTATTGAATCTATTCATATGTCGTCAAGTGATGCATTCCTGTTCACCACCAACACTTCATCAGAAGCGACATTTTCCACGAAGGTTGCCAATTGCTTCGTTCTATTCTTGCTCAAAGGTTATTTTGTCAGGATTACAACATTTAAGACCTCAAGTGACCTTTCAAAACATGTTTGGTTAATAGGTGAAGGATCTTTCCTAACTTTTACTTTTAAGTGAAGAAGACAAAATGTCAATAGAACTCTTTTAATTCGTAGCATGTGTTCCCGTGAGTTTAGTTTCAGGTGAACAGTTTACTCATCATAGCATGATTGTGGCTGGGTCACTTTTTCGCAAACACATGGAATCATCTTCAGTATGTAATGAATGATTCTGAAAAAAACCATGTTATGGTACAGTCGGAATCATACAGTTAATTCTACTTGTAGCAGAGATATCTAATAATTATGGAAATGGTTTGGTGGCTTTCATGTATTCTTTTCTAAATTGTCTATATGTATACATACGATTTTACTATTTGTCGTATCGATATGTATTCCTTCCAACAGTACATCCTTACAAATGAAAATGCTCAATTCATGCTGAAACACATTTCGTAATAGTATTTTCCATTTTTCTTCATCAGCTTTAATTATTCTTTCCCAAGGCTTCAAAAACACGCTAGTTACGTTTAGCATATGCATGAACATTGCATGGTCATAAGAAAGTGTAATGATAACTAGCAACTGAGAATAATATTACATGATGCACAGAATAGGATTTTAACATGACGCCTGTGTGTCAGTAACTCAAAGAAAGAAAGAAAGAAATTGAATTATAAATAACATGTCAAAAGTTTTAAAAATCATCAGATTAAAACTGATTAAAAGGCATTTTCATTTAAATACTAATATTGATTATTTTATGCTCGATTATGTTCCGATGTCTATCAACATATCATCATGTCATTAGCCCGAAACGTCTTTTGGAATAATTCATATTATATAATGCATTCAGTTAGTACAGTGTTTTTCTAACATATACAGTGAACCCAATATAGTATTCCCTTTATGATTTTAATTAATTTTAATTATATGAAACGTTTATTTTTGTACGATTGTTCTCGTTGATATGATATCTTTTTTCCGCCAGTTTTAGCGTATATACGTCGTCCATACCTCTATATATGTGTGTCAATATACTATCTGTCAACTGGATATCTACATAAATATCGGTTTGATATTGAAATACTTCTTTAAAATTGAATGATTTTCAGATTTGCGAGTTATAAAAGCGCTTGGTAAGTTGAGAGGAAGCCGATGAGTCCCTTCCCCGAAAGTCCACACATGTTACTATGTTATTGTGCACATGCATTTACTAAAACTATCAACACTGTCTCTTTATGTTGTAGTTTCTGACATGCAATTATTATTTGGGAACACAAATGCACACATAACAAATATAACCAATTGTACAATGTTATCTAGAAAGACCAAAGTATATATGAACGCGCTACATCGTATACATGGTAGCCAGCATCGTTGATAGGACTCTGCAGCCAACTTTGACAATGGGCGCGTATCTTGGTCTTGTCCGGTTTCTGACATCAAATCATTGAACGGGGAACCATTATTTTGATATTCGAAATGCAAACAGATAGGATTTACCCATCAGATAGAAATATGAAACGGTGTACAGGTTCTGTGTGAGCGTCCTTGGTAGAACTCTCAACTTTCCAGGAAGAGCGCGCGAGTGTGCGTATTGTTAAACACATGGCTGGCGCTGTCGCTTTTGGGGCCAACTGGGCCAACCGCTGCGAATGCTCGTTGTGCTTTAAGCAGGTGCTGTAATAGCGTATGGTGTGCAACTGGACACAAGATGCAACAAAAGTGCAACACGTATATACATGTACGTGCAATATGTGCAAGTGGTGTAGGGATAACGTCGTGTGACAGATCCTCATATAAGCAGTGATGGTGTATATGGTTTAACACAAGGGACAGAGAATATGGTGGAAGTGTACTGTACCGGTGTACCATCGCAGTGTTGTAACAAAACGAATGTTTGGAGGCTAGAAACTGTTGGCGAGACGCATGTGTTCTCTCAAACTGCATGTAATAGTCCTGGATGTGGTGCTTTCTCCTTCCGTAATACCTAAGGTGTGAGTACGTGAATATATGTTGAATTGAAAGGACGTCCAACATAAAACCCATGGTGGACCTTATGCACAGAGTGATAGAAACCATGCAATGGTTCGTGTAGCTAGCCACCGAACTTTGGGTCGAAGAATGAACATACAGGAGAACCCTTCAAGAGGCACATTCGAAGTGTTGGGGAGAGAGTTGGAAACACGCAGATTGCCAGTATATCAGTTATACTTTGGCGCATTCACCATTATGCGAACTTTCGAGTCGGGAAAAAAGGATCGTTTAGCTTATAATGTGGATTCGAACAATGATCAGCAGATCCTGCCATTACAAAAGGGAGATAACTGTTACAACGCAGAGCTAGACGGGCCACAGAACAGACGCTCTCAGAATAAACATAGCACAGCCTGATCAATTCAACTTTCATCGTGTCATCGTTTCTTCTTTTCATAATAATCCAACATGTACAGAACGTCCACAAGGGGTGGTGCATTCATTGAAAAATGTTCCTATGCTGTATTGTAGTTGCTTAGCATTTGGAGATGGCTATAACCTCAGTTGCCTTTTGGGAAACCGGTCTTCTGTAGTTATGTGTTGTATATATGTATGTACCTTCATCGCCTGTATATTTCTCCTGTCCTTCCTTCACTCACTGTTCCAATCTGCCTACCTAACCCTCAAACCCCTTAACCGTCTAACCCTCTAACAACATTCACCAAGTAAGTGGCTTATACAAGTTTACTTTCAGCGTTATACTAGCACCTTCATGAGTGTGTATGCTGTGTACAAGACAGGTTTGGGACTTATTTAACATTCTTTCAGATTTGGTTTGGTTGAACCGGTTGTACGGCAAGGGTAAGTGCGCTTCAGCGTTTCAAAGCAGGTGTGACGTCGACCTAGCCAATTGCATGTTTCATAGCCAGCCTGTTTAGAAACTTTGAGAAAGCATTACTTATCACATGTGACTGTTTACTCCATGGAGCTGTGAGTATTCCGCAGTGGAGGCGGCGAGTTCTGGGTGCCATACTTGTGTGCTCCTGGTAGAGTAGCAGTGAGACGTTGCTTGCATTAAGTCTTGCGGAGAGTGTGCTCATAAATGCATTCGTTTCTTTCTTTAATATTCTGGCATATCTTTAGTCTGTAGTCTTGGGTTCTTATTTATAATTTTAATTTGCTCTTAACGAATTCATATTGTGTTCCTGTTTCAACTGACTGTTTTAAAGTATCATATGTTATATTCGGGATTACACTTCCTCAATGAGCATTTGACAGTTTAAAACACTGTCTGTAGATGACATTATATGTGACAATGTCATCAATATTTATCATAGCTATTCATTATGATGAGTAAATCAAATTGATTTTTTTGTTTGGGGATATTTCTCAAAATTCCTTTCTGCTCTGTGAAATGACAAGATGCATTGCTTTGTATTAATATACCATTAAGCAGGAATTACAAATGAGTTTTTAGCCGTTTTAAAGTTTATTGTAGAACACAGTTCTTTAAAATCAGTTTACCATGAAACCATACTTCAAACCATAGGAAAGCCCCACCCCAGTACAACGGGAAACGTTCTGTGGATACAACGTCTTCATTATTAATGTAAACCCAGTTATGAAGCAAGTGACGGGTTAGCATCGACACAGTGACATTTAATATTAATGGTTAGCATCGGGTTAGCACACAGATAACGCCGTCTACATTAAATAATGTTAACCCAGTTATAGCAAGTGACCAGTTATCGACACAGATAACGCCGAAATATTAAGTGACGGGTTAGCATCGACACAGATAACGCCGTCTACATTAATATTAATGTTAACCCAGTTATGAAGCAAGTGACGGGTTAGCATCGACACAGATAACGCCGTCTACATTAATATTAATGTTAACCCAGTTATGAAGCAAGTGACGGGTTAGCATCGACACAGATAACGCCGTCTACATTACTAATATAGAAGTTGTATAGCCATAGAACTTTACTCGTTGTTCATCACACCAACTTCTAAATGCCACCCAAAGAAGAAATCAACCCAGTATACAGGTTTTGAGGGGTTTTTTTGTAGAAGAGGGATTTTAGGACGTTTTTGTATCTTGTGGGTCTAATACATGTACGTTCCATTTATATATATACTCAAAGGCAAATGTTTCTGTGCTTTCATAAATATATAAGTAAGTATTTTTTCATAATGTTGAGGATACTGATGGACCATCTGACTATGCATGCGAAAACAAATACCTTCCGTCAGGATCATTTGTCTTTCCTTTCAAAGTCCTGAAAACAAACATTTTACTTTAAAATGCGTTACGCTAGTTGTTGGTAATTGAAATATTAGTGAAAATGTTATTGTTTTAAATATATGAATATTAGAAAGTCTCATATTCAAAATTCATTCAAATATCTCACCATCGCACATGTAATCTTTAGAAAAAACTGTCTAGGATTTGAGGTATCCCACATTAATAGCAAGAACTTGAGTACTCTACTTGTGCCTGTGAGTAGGTGGTATCGGTCTGTCCTTCAATATAAATTCTTATATTTAAGCGGCGTGTGTGTGTGTGTGTGTGTGTGTGTGTGTGTGTGTGTGTGTGTGTGTGTGTGTGTGTGTGTGTGTGTGTGTGTGTGTGTGTGTGTGTGTGTGTGTGTGTGTGTGTGTGTGTGTGTGTGTGTGTGTGTGTGTGTGAGAATAATTTACAGAAAATGTATGACCAAATATTTCATATTTCCATGTCCTTATTTTTAATTCCAGGAATAATTTCTATGAGTAGTGGCCGTAATATAATGATGGACCTGTTTGGATGTCATCTCAGTGGATATCTTAGTGATAACAATCGCACTAATCCCATGCGCACTAGTTCTTTAGAACAAGCATTAGCAAACGCTCGTAATACTCTGTTAGAACTGCTGGAATGCTCTCGGTTTCTAGTCTATATTTATTTGTAGATTTTCTTTGACAGCAATACTGTTATTTCTGATTCCAGCATGATCCTGTGGTGTAAATACCCTTCTGCTGAAAAATATATGCATGTAATACCTACAGCATATATAATAAGCATGGTTTTGTAACCCGTTTTGTTTCAGCTAACCTATATTCACGTTTGTTTCCGTATATAGCCATCGTTTAGCGTTATCAATAAATGCTTAATTCTTATATACCTCTTTGTTACAATAATGAAATGTCGTTCCTGTCTACATACTGCTGACATATACATGTATGTTGTCATATATGTTTTGCTAAAACATTGGACGTTATTGATTTATGGATGCAGTTCAATAATTATCAGGTGCACAACGCTCTCAATAAGTTATCCATCTTCGTTGTTTTTTTTCCTTGTGTTTTTTTTTCGACTTTGATATCGTCGATGTCTACAATTCGTATTCTAATGCAATAGGCATTGTGCCATTATACGTTTTCCGTCGTTCTTTTTCATACTTCAAAGTGTTTCAGCTGCTTAAAAAATTTAAAATTAAAATTTATATTTTATCAGACAATTAGTATGGAAACATACATGATATACAGAGATGTGTAATACTTCTATAGTTTCCTTCAAGGTGCGTCTTTCGTATTATACATATTATGCAATATACATTTTGTTTGTTGGTTTGTTGTTTAACGCAGTATTCAGCACAATTCCTGTTGTGTCATGGAGGTTTTTAAAGTCATACTTAATGGAATAATTGTTGATTGACGATCGCTATTTTAAGTATTGTAATAACAATTGTCAGATTGATTCCGTTGTTGTAAATAGTCTTGTACAGATTGCGCCATTGGTCCACAGGGTATTCTAGACGTTCGTGTGAGTGTGTCGAGCAACGTTGCGAATGGACGAAGCCAAACTTTGTCAAATGCCAGTCTGGACATCTGATTATAACATATGATAGGGTAAGAGAATGACTTGATATCACTACATTTTTTGAGTCAGTGAGTGAGTGGAATGTTTTTTCACCGCTTTTTGCAATATTCCAGCAATATGGTGACACGAGAAATGGGCTTCACACATTGTACCCATGTGTGGAATCGAACCCGGGTCTTCGGCGTGAGGTGCGAACGCTTTATCCATTTGGCTACCCCTCAACTGTTTCTAACATTTGATACACACATGTTTGTTTCTGCCTGTGAGAGAATATGTAAGTCTGTGTGTTTAAGTGTGTGTGTCTGCGTGAGTGTACGTATGTGTGCGGGTGGGTGGGTGTGAGTGGGTGTTTATGCGTTTGTCTGAACGTGTGAAAATTATTACATATTATCACTAGTTTAATCACATGAATAGATATAACCCATAATGCTTCAACCCATGAAGATACGGGTTAGAATTAGTCTTCAGCGACCCATGCTTGTTGTGAGAGCCGACTAACGGGATCGGGTGGTTGACACATGTCATCGTATCCCAATTGCGTAGATCATGTTGTTGATCACCGGACTGTCTGGCCCAGACTGTAGTATTTACAAACCGCCGCCATATAGCTGGAATATTGCTGAGTGTGGCATAAACCGTGCTCACACAATGCCTCAACCATTGTATTGTATCAAAATATGTGTATGTTATCTATATATCATTAGGTATGATTTATGAGAATAAAATCCTGTTCCTGGTAATGGAGGGGTTTTCGGACGTATAGCCTTAACATGTAAAATCGGTTCGAATCTAGTTTTCGATACACGTTTCAGATACTTGGTGGGCATTTACAAGTTGGAAGGTAACATAGCAACGCATGGTATGGATTTACAACTTCTTTAATGTTTACAACACAACGTTTCTGGGCTACTTCTTGTTCCTTCATCAGGTGACTCTGTACATCGTAATCAAAACATATCACTTAATCTCCTTGATCTCTGTACATCTCAGTCGGTAATACTATCTCACTCATTCTCATTCGCCTGATGAAAGGGCAAGAAGTAGCCCAGAAACGTCGTGTTGTAGACATTAAAAGTTGTAAATCCATACCATACGTTGTTATGCTACCGACAAGTTTGTTCCTTGAAGAGCGAGACTGGCATTAATTCACAGATCGGCATATAGCAGAAATCAAGTGCATGCCGCGGTTTAAAAGACTTTGACTCAAAAATACAATCCATGTGTATCATTTAAAAACATTGTGATTTTAGTTCACATATTCATATTATACACATTTTAGTTAACATATGCTTATTATATAACATTTTAGTTAACATATGCATATTATATAACATTTTAGTTAACATGTGGCTATTATATAACATTTTAGTTAACATATGCATATTATATAACATTTTAGTTAAAACATTGTATAACAGCTTAGTTAACATATGCATATTATATAACATTTTAGTTAATATATGCATATTATATAACATTTTTGTTAACATATGCATAACATAACATTTTCGTTAGCATATGCATATAATATAACATTTTAGTTAACATATGCATATTATATTACAGTTTCGTTAACATATGCATATTATATAACATTTTAGTTAACATATGCATATTATATAACATTTTAGTTAACATATGCATATTATATAACATATTCGTTAACATGCATGTTATATAACATTTTAGTTAACATATGCATATTATATTACAGTTTCGTTAACATATGCATATTATATACCTGGCAGCTGGAGAAGATCAAGCTGGGCTACCAACACGATAAGATGGCCTCCATATGGGAGGACCTGTATGGTTTGATCAGACAGGCGAGAGGGAAGTTGTATGCCGGCGATGTTGATGTCTCCTCCTCAATTCTTCACACGTTTGTCAAGACTCTGGCACAATATCCATCGCTTGCTCCCCAGAACGGATCGTACTCTTTAACGGTAATGCCCATATCGCAGTAGAATAGTGCAACCTGGCAAGGAAATTTGGTATTTAACTGTACTTCTCCAACAATCCAAAGGCCCTTGGCCCAATAGGAAGCTACGTAATTGTTTTTGTCTTAAATCGATTGTATCCACCGATTCCATTGTCATCAATGTCATTACTTACGCCGCCAGACTTCTGAATATAGAAAGATGGATATACGCATGCCTTTAACAGGAGATTGTTCATGAAACCTATGCATCACATCAACTGATTTGGAGATAATCCGATCCGTTGTGGCAAAGAATCTTTTTTCAGTTTTGTTTTTTTATTGGTGTTGGTTTTTTGCATTGCTTGGAATTCATACTTAGGATGCAAGGTAAAGTATATACCAATATGCACATTAACAGTTGAATGTGTTGAATATTTTTAGTTAATTTGAAGTTACATTGGACTGTTTCTTTGTATATATACAGAGTCTTCTTGATCTCACGAACATCTTAATGGCAGAGGCTCTCCTTACAACAAGTGATGAAAAACAGGTAAGAATGATGATATTCCTAATTGTAAGTATGTAATGTTTTCATAAGTGGATCAGTATTCGGATTTACGTAAAACATTGTTAAATGAATCACACTGATATTCCTTATTTGGTATTTCAAGCCTCATGGACCAGATTACATGTTTAATGGTATTTTGGTGTTCCTATCCTTTCTGCGAACACCGGGTGTCAATTTCCATTATTCAGTTTTGACCTTCATCACTGATTTTGCATTTTACGCGCTTTGGAATCTGTTTCCGGATATAACCATGTATTACATTTGTTGCCAGAACATGATCGTGTAACGTTCTCATTATGCACGCATATTTCTTTTCAAACATTGATTGTTTGTTGTTTTACGCCGCACTCAGCAATATTCCAGCTATATGGCGGCGGTCTTTAAATAATTGAGTCGGGACCAGATAATCCAGGGATTAACAGCATCAGCATGGATCTATGCAATGGGGATACGATGACATGTGTCAACCAAGTTAGCGAGCCTGACCACCCGATCCAGTTAGTTGCCTCTCACGACAAGTATGGGTTGCTGAAGGCCAATTCTAACCCGGATCTTCACACATGATATATTCGGAATTGTACTATTCATTCTGCTTTGAGTCTTTGTCTTTTTCTTAGGATTCTCGTCTTCATTTGAGTGTGAACGTTCACAACCATAACCACCCGGGTAACAGTTTCTCCTGGTTTAGGGTCCCTTAACACACGAGATGTGACTATCTGACCATCTATTTCAGTCCCTCTATGTTGGACCTAAGGTGATGCAGATTATGGAGATGCTTTGTGGTCTTCATCTCAGAAATTTCAATTTCTCAATTGGACTACGTATTACTACTGAAAAAATCGGTAAGTAAAACAACAGTTTACAAACGTTAGTCCAGAATAAATACAGTGCTTGAGTTACGTTAACATATGTTATATTTGGTATTACACTTTCTTAGTAAAGTACAGATGGCTGAGCGGGTTAGGCGGCTGACTTTGTGTGCTGGCGATTTGGTGCCTGACTCTGAGGGTCTGGGTTCGAATCCCGGATGGGACTCAACCCAACAAAAGTACTAGAATCTGTCCTGGACGTGTTTAATTTGACCACTTTTTTAAATGGCATTGTCTAATCATTGCGTTAAGTTGAATTTTCTCACTGGATCACGACTGTTTGGTGTGCCTAAAGTTTGACCAAAATATGGAATCAGTGATATTAGATGTTCATAAGAAAGCGTGTGTTTATTTCGCGACAGAAATGCCTTTCTTCTTTTCCGTAAGATCTCTGGAGGGTGTGTGAATAGCAAATTCCGGCAATATTACGGTCTGAACTTTATCTCGTGTTCAGAAGAATGCTTTACTTTTAGATGTGGTATACTCCCCCTGATTTCAACCTGTTTCATCATTTGTGCTTACACTCTGTATTTTCCTGGCTACGCGCCTGGCCTTGGTTCCACATTCAGCTGACACGCCGTAATGACTGAAATACTGTTCAAGGCGACGTTAAACCCAAGCCACTCAATACCTCATATTTTGCGAGGGGTAACCAAGTGGTTAAAGCGTTCCCTCGTCACGCTGATGACCTGGGTTCCCTACATTAGTACCATGTGTGAAGCTCATTTCTGGTGGCCCCCGCCCTGATATTCCTGGAATATGATAAAAGCGGCGTACTCACTCACTCTGTATCTTCCATCAGTGGCGCTGGTGGAGGATGTTCGGATAGTCCCTCCCAACGCAAGTCTACCCAAGTTGGCGTACGATGCCGAGAAACCAAGCTCTACCCTGACCCGTGGCTCTCGATCAAGAAGAGAGAAGGTTTCAATATCAAAAAATGGTCATTCAGGTACATGTATGTCAAAGAAATTCACAATTTTAATAATAATGAATATTTGGGAAAGAAAGCATAAGTTTCCGAAGAGAAAAACTTCTGCATTTAAATCCTACATGTTAGCATAATATTTATTATAAAACAACATGTCTACTTAAAGACTACATACTACTTGAATAATAATAATAATTATTTGATTTATATAACGCATCATTCACTAATAAATGCTCTGTGCGCTTAAGATGGAAATTGACACTTGAAAAGAAATGTTTTGAGGCCAATCTTAAAAGATGTTAGTGACTCGCTGGTTTTGAGTTCAAGCGGTAGCGCGTTCCACTTCATTGCTGCATTGAAAGCGAACGACCTTTTGCCAGAGTCCCCAAATAGAAAAACAAAAGACCTTAAATATTACAATTGTTTATGTTTCAGACCACTCTGATGTTATGTACAGCCACGAACCAATGTTTATATGTCACTACGTAGATATGTATTCGTTGTTACATGACAACTATGCAGAGAAGATGTGAGTATGCCTTAGTTTCCTGAAGGTGTGAATATGCCTTAGTTGACTGATGGTGTGAATATGCCTTGGGTGACTGATGTTGTGTAGTATGCCTTAGTTTCCTTAAGGTGTGAGTATGCTTTAGTTTCCTGATGATATGAATGTGCCTTGGGTGACTGATGATGTGAAGTATGCATTAGTTTCCTGAAAGTAGAGTGTGCCTTAGTTGACTGATGGCGTGAATATGCCTTGGGTGACTGATGTTGTGAAGTATGCCTTAGTTTCCTTAAGGTGTGAGTATGCTTTAGTTTCCTGATGATATGAATGTGCCTTGGGTGACTGATGTTGTGTAGTATGCCTTAGTTTGAAAGTAGAGTGTGCCTTAGTTGACTGATGTTGTGAAGTATGCCTTAGTTTCCTTAAGGTGTGAGTATGCTTTAGTTTCCTGATGATATGAATGTGCCTTGGGTGACTGATGATGTGAAGTATGCATTAGTTTCCCCAAGGTGTCAGTAAGCCTTAGTTTCCTTAAGGTGTGGTATGCTTTAGTTTCCTGATGATATGAATGTGCCTTGGGTGACTGATGATGTGAAGTATGCATTAGTTTCCTGAAAGTAGAGTGTGCCTTAGTTGACTGATGGCGTGAATATGCCTTGGGTGACTGATGTTGTGAAGTATGCCTTAGTTTCCTTAAGGTGTGAATATGCCTTAGTTGACTGATGGTGTGAATATGCCTTGGGTGACTGATGTTGTGTAGTATGCCTTAGTTTCCTGAAAGTAGAGTGTGCCTTAGTTGACTGATGGCGTGAATATGCCTTGGGTGACTGATGTTGTGAAGTATGCCTTAGTTTCCTTAAGGTGTGAGTATGCTTTAGTTTCCTGATGATATGAATGTGCCTTGGGTGACTGATGATGTGAAGTATGCATTAGTTTCCCCAAGGTGTCAGTAAGCCTTAGTTTCCTTAAGGTGGCAGTATGCCTTAGTTTCATGATGATGTGAATATGCCTTTGGTGGCTGATGTTGTGAAGTATGCCTTAGTTTCCGCAAGGTGAGAGTATGCCTTAGTAGACTTATGCTGTTATGGTCTAACAATGTTCCATAATTCACTCATGGTTGTATTGGGTTGTGTTTTAATAAATGGAACCAACAACAGGAATACTGAAAGTAAGATTTTATATTTCGAACTTCTTTAATCTGAATTTCTGTGTGTTTGTTTTTTTTCAGATATGATCCCGATTTCATAACGAATATTCGTTCGGTGTTTCCCCTTGACAACTTCTTTCTTCAGAAGGTTAGGAAAGCTGAAATAGTATTTCACCATCCACGATCTGTAAGTATTGACTCATTTATTTATTAAAACAATAGCGTATTGCTCATAGTTTCGTTTCTTAATCAGAAATATTATGTTTTGTTAGTTCTCCTTTTAATGGCTCGAATATGTTTGGTCATCTCGGTCACAGTTCACTCCGGATATCACAAAGTTCACACCAGATATCACAAAGTCGTCTCAGGAAATGATGAAGTGTACTCCGGATATGACAAATTTCACTCCTTATTTGACAAAGTGTTCTCCATATATGACAAAAGTGTACTCCGGGTATGACAAAATTCACTCCTTATATGACAAAGTGTTCTCCATATATGACAAAGTGTACTCCGGATATGAAGAAGTTAACACTTAAGATGACAAAATTAACTCCGGGTATGGCAATGTTGTCTCAGGATATGACAAAGTTCACTCCGGATATGACGAAGTTAACTCCGTAGATGACAAAGTTAACTCCGGATATGACAAAGTTTACTCCGAACATGACCCTGAATCTGCATGTTGCGACTACTCAAACCAAACGAACACATAGACTTTGTACATAAATGTTACAAATGTTTTTGGTAACAATAAGGGTCATGGAACGTGTCCGAAAGATCTTGGTTGGATACGAGGGTCGGTCAAAAAGTAGTCGGCCTCACCTGGGAAATGATACAAATGTAGCTGTTTTTATGTTTTATTTTACTTCATATTATCTGTCAACCTCAAGCAAATTGGTTTTGCTATGTTCCAGCCTCACGGTCCCCATTTTGTTTTGATTTGGTTTTGACATACATACATACATACATACATACATACATACATACATACATACATACATACATACATACATACATACATACATACATACATACATACATACATACATACATACATACATACATACATACATACATACATACATACATACATACATACATACATACATACATACATACATACATACATACATACATACATACATACATACATACTCGTTAACACCTGTATATTAACTGACCCGCGAAGATCCGGGTTAGAATTGATCTTCAGTAACCCATGCTTCTCGTAAGAGGCGACTAACGGGATTGGGTTGTCAGGCTCGCTGACTTGGTTGACAGATGTCATCGTATCCCAATTGCGTAGACCGATGTTCATGCTGTTGATCACTGGATTGTCTGGTCCAGACTCGATTATTTACAGACCGCCGCCATATAGTTATAATATTGCTGAGTGCGGCGTAAAACCGAACTCACTCACTCACTGTATATTAACTAATCTATTTTAAGGTGATACTTCAAGGATCAAACGAAACTTCGTGCATTTCATGGAGAACGATTCGCAGGTACGTGTACAATTTTATAAATTTGTAATACTAGTAACTAATTTAAAGTAAAATATTTGTCGCAATGGTAACATTTTTCACGGTCCACTAAACAAAACGGCTTTCAAATGGCATCACCGCCAGTCCCCACAGTCCAAAGAGAGAACAATCGATTTCCTGAGTGCTACCTTCCATGATTTCTGCAACATCGCTGAGTGGCTTTAACCGAGAAAGGCCACATACATCAGGTTTCGTCTGACAGCTAGACACATATGTCGTATTGGGAACGCCTTCGGTTCAAAGGAACATATTTTATTGATATCGTGAACTAAGTGCTCGTCTATGTGAAGTCAGCGCTAATTGAGAATTGTTTAGAATACTGATTCCATGAGACGTAAGCGTGAGCATATAAACTATATTTGTTGGAGACTGCAGCGGTTGCATCTCTTTCAGATGGAACCTTTTACTCCTTATCCCGATCATACTACAATACAGAAAATTATTTATCCACAAAAGACTTGTGTTTGGAATTTCCTTTCATTTCTATTTTTATTCGATTCTTTGTAACAGCAGTGTTATACATTTTTAACAATAACGTAAAAAACATTTTGTTAAATACATCAAAATACAAACAACCCCGTAACAAATAATAATAATATCATAATTCATTTATTAGCGCCGAGTATCCATGTGTCTAGTTGCTCGCTGGCGCGTATGTAGGAGTCAGTAGAGTGTGAGGGGGAAATGTCCAATATTGTAAGCAGTTCTGAACAGAAGAGTTTTGATTTGGCTATAAAAAGAGGATTCACAGATGGTGGCTTTGGGTTCTGATGGTAAAGTGTTCAATAATTGGGGTGCAACAATGGAGGAGGCTCTACCACCCATTGTGCTTGTGGATACTGGTTGGGACAAATAAACTCAATCTCTATAACAGCCAATACTATATGTAACTGCGGATATTTTCGCTTGCAAACAAAATAAACAGTGATGCAGGCTGTAAAACATGAATAACATTTACATTCAATTCTGTTTTTGATAACAAAGAACAGCTATAACCAAGTAATGTTTGTGTAGGAACTTCGTTGATATTAGCTTGAATTGTATTCTCTCCTATATCAATATTGAACTATCAATGACAGTGAGGTTTGTCGTTTAGATACATTAGATTACTATTGACAGATACCCTTACATAATACGGTAAGTATACACAGCTGTTCATACCAAGGCATTGTAGAATGTAAACAGCGGTACGTGCATGGCTGTGCCATTTGATAGGTCACGTAAGCAGTGTGACTTGCATGGTTGTGCTACTTGGTTGTCACGCGGCACATAAACTGCATCACTAGCATGGTTGTGCTACCTGGTTGTCTTGTAGCGTGGAAACAGCGTGGCTTGCATGGTTGTGCTACCTTGATGTTCCTATCACAGCAAGATCCGCGATAGAATTGGTCTTCAGTAACCCATGCTTGTCGTAAGAGGCGACTAACGGGATCGGGTGGTCAGGCTTGCTGACATGGTTGACACACGTCTTTGTTCATACAAAGGTGCTGCAACATTCACACAGCGTTGTTCATAGTAAGGGGTCTGCAACCTTCACACAGCGTTGTTCATACTAAGGTGCTGCAACATTCACACAGCGTTGTTCATACTAAGGCGCTGCAACCTTCACACAGCGTTGTTCATAGTAAGGTGCTGCAACCTTCACACAGCGTTGTTCATAGTAAGGTGCTGCAACCTTCACACAGCGTTGTTCATAGTAAGGTGCTGCAACCTTCACACTGCGTTGTTCATAGTAAGGTGCTGCAACCTTCACACAGCGTTGTTCATAGTAAGGTGCTGCAACCTTCACACTGCGTTGTTCATAGTAAGGTGCTGCAACCTTCACACAGCGTTGTTCATAGTAAGGTGCTGCAACCTTCACACAGCGTTGTTCATAGTAAGGTGCTGCAACCTTCACACTGCGTTGTTCATAGTAAGGTGCTGCAACCTTCACACTGCGTTGTTCATAGTAAGGTGCTGCAACCTTCACACTGCGTTGTTCATAGTAAGGTGCTGCAACCTTCACACTGCGCGTTGTTCATAGTAAGGTGCTGCAACCTTCACACTGCGTTGTTCATAGTAAGGTGCTGCAACCTTCACACTGCGTTGTTCATAGTAAGGTGCTGCAACCTTCACACTGCGTTGTTCATAGTAAGGTGCTGCAACCTTCACACTGCGTTGTTCATAGTAAGGTGCTGCAACCTTCACACTGCGTTGTTCATAGTAAGGTGCTGCAACCTTCACACTGCGTTGTTCATAGTAAGGTGCTGCAACCTTCACACTGCGTTGTTCATAGTAAGGTGCTGCAACCTTCACACTGCGTTGTTCATAGTAAGGTGCTGCAACCTTCACACTGCGTTGTTCATAGTAAGGTGCTGCACCTTCACACTGCGTTGTTCATAGTAAGGTGCTGCAACCTTAGTAAGGTGCTGCACCTGCGTTGTTCATAGTAAGGTGCTGCAACCTTCACACTGCGTTGTTCATAGTAAGGTGCTGCAACCTTCACACAGCGTTAAGGTGCTGCAACCTTCAGCGTTGTTCATAGTAAGGTGCTGCAACCTTCACACTGCGTTGTTCATAGTAAGGTGCTGCAAGGTGCGTTGTTCATAGTAACCTTCACACTGCGTTGTTCATAGTAAGGTGCTGCAACCTTCACACTGCGTTGTTCATGCAGTAAGGTGCTGCAACCTTCACACTGCGTTGTTCATAGTAAGGTGTGCCTTGCAAGCGTTGTTCATAGTAAGGTGCTGCAACCTTCACACTGCGTTGTTCATAGTAAGGTGCTGCAACCTTCACACTGCGTTGTTCATAGTAAGGTGCTGCAACCTTCACACAGCGTTGTTCATAGTAAGGTGCTGCAACCTTCACACAGCGTTGTTCATAGTAAGGTGCTGCAACCTTCACACTGCGTTGTTCATAGTAAGGTGCTGCAACCTTCACACTGCGTTGTTCATAGTAAGGTGCTGCAACCTTCACACTGCGTTGTTCATAGTAAGGTGCTGCAACCTTCACACAGCGTTGTTCATAGTAAGGTGCTGCAACCTTCACACAGCGTTGTTCATACTAAGGTGCCGCAACATTCACACTGCGTTGTTCGTACTAAGATACTGTAACATGAACTCTGCATATGGCTGCGTTGGTCGGCTGTCCTTACTAAGACACTGCAACATTCCATCCATACTCTTATTACACACTCCGTATGCTTGTACGCACTCACATCGGCCGCGGAAAGTCAGGTTTCCCTTGAGAAATCGATACTATTTGATAATGGAGTTAATTTTATATTGATCTTTATGATGGCAACTTTAACTTCTACGCGGCGCTTTTCAGCCTAAGGAGTGATTGAATTGTGTGACAGTAACGACCAGCGCTAATCGTGCCCGTTTGAACTTTGGAATGATGTTGGATCCCACAAGTCCAAGCAAACGATGTTCTTTGCCTTTTGTGGGGGCTCTAAGTAGGGAGCGTACGAGTTAACTTAATGCGTCCTTCTCACTTTCATCACGTAAACTATCGCTTCTAAAGAATCTCATTATTAACAGCATGCATAAATAAAACCTACATCATCAGTATTAGCAAGATACATGAATAGCCTTATGTTATGGCTGTCATGCCTTAAAACAATTATTATCCCAGTCAGTGGACCAATAGGCCTCATCTTGTCATCTTCATTAGAGGCTGATATGCCAAGCTCCTTCAGTACTAGGTTTAACACCTTATCATACTTCCGGGTACCCATTCACTGCTGAACACATTCCAATTTCGACCAACGCGAATTGAGAAAGGAAACGCGTCATTAAATCACATTTGGAAATTTGTTGAAATATAACCGTAGACTATCCCAGGAGGCAGTCTTGCAGATGTTCCACGTACAAACGACTACTCTATGTCTTTACCTATGTTTTACCTATTGTGTAATATGTGCCCCTTCATAGAGTTACGTACACATCTATAACTCCTCCTGTAGAATACCTGCAAGAATCATGCATAAAGTGCATTCATTATCAGTTAGAATCATGCATATCACCCATTTATGATATTAATGATATTCATGCATACATTTAACACCTCATTTGAGTAAGAACCATGCATCACATCTCATTTGAATATCATAATCAGTAAGAATCATGCATAGAACCTCACATAAACATTATGAGTGGTGAGAATTTTGCATAGAACCTCACATAAACATGAGTGGTGAGAATCATGCATAGACCCGCACATAAACATTATGAGTGGTAAGAATCATGCATAGATCCGCACATAAACATTATGAGTGGTAAGAATCATGCATAGAACCTCACATAAACATTATGAGTGGTGAGAATCATGCATAGAACCGCACATAAACATTATGAGTGGTGAGAATCATGCATAGAACCGCACATAAACATTATGAGTGGTGAGAATCATGCATAGAACCGCACATAAACATTATGAGTGGTAAGAATCATGCATAGACCCGCACATAAACATTATGAGTGGTGAGAATCATGCATAGACCCGCACATAAACATTATGAGTGGTAAGAATCATGCATAGAACCTCACATAAACATTATGAGTGGTAAGAATCATGCATAGAACCTCACATAAACATTATGAGTGGTGAGAATCATGCATAGAACCTCACATAAACATTATGAGTGGTAAGAATCATGCATAGACCCGCACATAAACATTATGAGTGGTGAGAATCATACATAGAACCTCACATGAACATTATAAGTGGTGAGAATCATGCATAGAACCTCACATAAACATTATGAGTGGTAAGAATCATGCATAGAACCTCACATAAACATTATGAGTGGTGAGAATCATGCATAGAACCTCACATAAACATTATGAGTGGTGAGAATCATGCATAGAACCCGCACATAAACATTATGAGTGGTGAGAATCATGCATAGAACCTCACATAAACATTATGAGTGGTGAGAATCATGCATAGAACCTCACATAAACATTATGAGTGGTGAGAATCATGCATAGACCCGCACATAAACATTATGAGTGGTGAGAATCATGCATAGAACCCGCACATAAACATTATGAGTGGTGAGAATCATGCATAGAACCCGCACATAAACATTATGAGTGGTCATGCAGAATCATGCATAGAACCTCACATAAACATTATGAGAGTGGTAAGAATCACATGCATAGAACCTGCATAGCACATAAACATTATGAGTGGTGAGAATCATGCATAGAACCTCACATAAACATTATGAGTGGTAAGAATCCTGCATATAACCTCACATAAACATTATGAGTGGTGAGAATAATGCATAGAACCTCACATGAACATTATGGCCTGTAAGAATCATGCATAGTACCTCATTTGAATACCAGTATTATGTTTAACAACTAACTGAATATGAGTAAAAATTATGCATACATGCAACACCTTATCTGAATATTTATAAGAATCATGCATAAACTTGAGTTGACTACGAGTATAAACAATCATGCATAACACGTTTAAATATGAGCATCAATCATGAAAGAGATCAATTGAATGTTTGAATATACATGTAACATCTCATTCGAACATAATTAGGAATCACGCAGAAGTTTTCATTTAAAAGTGAGAAGTTCATGCAACATGTCTTTTGAATGCGTGTAAGAATCATATATCACACTTTCTGAATACTTTCGGTAAAAGAGTGAGTGAGTGAGTGAGTATTGTTTAACGCCGTTTTAGAAATATTCCAGCAACTTCACGGAAATGGGCTTCACACATTGTACCCATATGTCCATATAAGGACCTGCAGAAAACAATAGCTGTGGGTCCGAGTGGTTTTCAGTCGGCTTCGGGCCTAAGGACCGACGTTAATTTCGATCGCTGCAAGTGACGAGCGAACGCTTTAATCACTGGGCTAGCCCCCTTCGATAAAAGAAATGAATAGCGTTTATTAGAATAGATTACTGTTTATATGATACATAATGTGTTGTTCTGCTGTCAGATTGTGAGGACGTTATGGCTCTGTTATTGCTGTGAAGATGTAATCGATGCTTGTAAACCAGCTGTAATGTTGGAGAATTAATAACATAAGCTGTTTATCCTGCACCAGCCCATGCTGTGAGTCACTGCGACATATGAGTCTTGTAGAAACCAATGCGATCATTTGAAAGCGGGTGATGCGTGTAACATACCTGTATCATTTCTTTTTTCATGGTGAGATATATTAAACTGGTCGATATGAGCTTCTGGTATTGTTCAGCTGCCAAAATATTATTTCGATTTCCTATTTTTTCATTCTGCCCTTTACGCATTAATTGTAGACAACATAAACTGATAACCGTCCTTGTAACAGATGTGCAGGGATGCTTTCCATGACTTATCAGTTCCAGTTACTGACGTCCATTGCAAAACCCATATGACGATTGTCAGTTTAATTACCTTGTTAGCTTCCTTAAGTAAGGACTGAAAAATTCATCAAACTCTACGTTTTGGTAGAGCACATTATTCCACGGTGGTATATTATCCACAAATTAAGAGGACGACAATTGATTTTTCCTATCATCATTCGGTATCGCACGTTTCACATTCGATCATTACAGCATAGCGACTACAAAGGCTAGCATTGACATTTTCTCATATGTTAAAACAGCACAGAGAGAGAAACAGAGAGAGAGAGATACACACACACACACACACACACACACACACACACACACACACACACACACACACACACACACACACACACACACACACACACACACACAGATTATCAACGGTCAGTCGCAGTATTGTTCATATGACGCTGACTTTAACATGGGTGACACATGGTTCCCTTAACCACCATCTGCACATATGCGCATGACAGTTTTTTTATCTCATTTTATAGATTTGTTACGGACCAGTAAGTATGAGGCGATCAGCTTTATATTTAGATATATATCCTGACGATAGATAGAGACCAATCATTACCCTGCATACTTTACCATTATGTTCATTTTTCTCTGATTCATTTTATATTTGATACTTTGATATATATATTGGTGTTATTTTAATGTTGTTTCATTGTCTTAAACCGATAACTGTTAGTTATAATGCATCATATTACAATTTGACTTAAGTTACAAAGACTATCTGCTCAGTGTCAATAGGTCAAACATACCTTATTTAACTTACTTCAACATAAATGTATGGGGCTTTTGGGGTTTTAGATTCATAACCGCTTCCGATGTAGACGCTTGACTCCGGTGATGTTTCTTCACCTTTACTGTGATAGATATCATTCCATTCCCTTTCACATCATTGCAAAACTTATGGTATAGCATTAATAGTAGAAACGTGACAAGCTAGCTAGCAGATACATTAAATCATGTTTTACTGACCCTTGTTCTCAAGTACGAATTAATATATCACATTTCAGGATGTACAATAGCATAATAGACATAATATATATCATACATGCAAAGTATATCGTTTTTCGAGACTGTCTTAAGATTTATCACGGAACTGTAGTAGTGCATGAGCATGAATATACTGTGTCACTCATGCCCATTCAAGCGAAACTGCAGTTTGGATACATGTTAACGTGCAAGCATTTCTATTGTGGTGGTGGTGGAATTGGGTTTTAACGTCGTGCTTGAGAATATTTTGCTCATATGACGACGTGCATGCGTGTGTATGTGTATGTGCGGCTGTTTGTACTAGCCCAGACTGAAGCTGGTTTTATAGTGCTAGCCCACTGAGATACCATGCCGCAGTGAAGCATGAATACCCCACTCAGTCACATTATACTGACTCCGAGCCGACCAGTCCTTGTTGTACCCATTAATGCCGAGCGCCAGACAGGGACCAACAAGTACCAATTTTAACGTCTTTTGGTATGACGCAGTCGGGGATCGAACCCGCGACCTTCCGCACTCCGGGCGGATGCTCTAACCACTACACAACGGAGGCGGTCCGCAAGCATTTCTATACCCATAAAGAAAGCACTGTGATATGTAACATGTGATAAAGTATGCAAGCATGTAAGTTACAGTATAACAATCACTGCTTCATTTGAAACATAGCTACACGCTTTTTAACACAACAGTTCTAAACCCCATACCCTTATTCAAGACCTTTCAGCAATAGATAGGTACTATAACATATATACATGTACAGAACCAGATGTAGCGGATCGTCTTATATTTCTCACATGTAGCTGTCAATATGAACAAATGCATACTTTTGTACACACAGGTTTCAAGATGGCAACTTGATGTCTAACATGTCTCATAAGCAGCGAGACCCGTGAAGATCCGGGTTAGAATTGATCTTCAGTAACCCATGCTTGTCGTCAGAGGCGACTAACGGGATCGGTTGGCCAGGCTCGCTGACTTGGTTGACACATGTCATCGGTTCCCAATTGCGTTAGAACGATGCTCTTGATGTTGATCACTGGATTGTCTGCTCCAGACTCGATTATTTACAGACCGCCGCCATATAGCTGCAATATTGCTGAGTGTGGCCTAAAACTAAACTCACTCACTCACTCGTAAGCAACAATTGTAAAATGAAGACAGAAGAATTGCATGTTTTACTGGGCTTTACCATTGCATGTGGATGGTCATCGGTGTGGTGTGGTTTATAGTTTGAGGCTTGCAATATTACAGAGCTTTTAGTTTTAGATCGCCACGAATAGCTGCAAAATTGCTGATACATCGTCAAGCAATATTTACTCACTATCTTTAGTTTTAGAAAGCTGCCCCTGTCATCAAGTGGTATGGATTGTTTCAGTATTTAGCAACCATTTATTACCCACAATATATTTATTCGTTAGATCAAATGACAAGAAAACCTTTTAGAATTGCATATTTGATTACTTTCACTGTTTTGTGGTGTAAATTCAAGGGTAGTAGATTATTCGATTTACCACATCAGTAGAGTATAATGATCAGCTGTTTCATCGGAATTCTAAAAGTTGGTAAGTAATTAAGTACATATACAACCTCGCAAGAAAAAGAACACAAACGACCATGATTCAACTTTACGAATGGCTTTAAGATTCTCTAAGATTAACTTTGCTTATGCAATAAAGAAGTTGTCATTCATAAAGTCGTGTATCTTTTCTAATTAGTATCTAGGGTTCATTTTTGGGAAATATTTTTAGGAAGATTTGTCATGAATTAATTCATGACACAAAAAATTATTGTCTCCATGTAGTAACAACGTTATGTTGTGTATTTCAGCGATATATTGAACGGTCATTGGTCAGTTCAGGATTGTGACGTCATACAGCGGAATACCACGTCCACAACATGTTGGTGTGACGTCCCTGGCCATTTTGCACTTGTGGTCAAACAAATAAACGTTACGGTAAGTAAAGAAAGTAGTATAACCACAGCCATTGCCATGTTACAAATGATGCATCTGTTGACGTATGAATGATTTCATATTGTATTGATATATATTGGGCCAACTGCCCAAAGCGAGTACAGAAACCTAAACACTTTAATATCTTATCCTCATGTATTAGGACGCTGCAAGCTTTGACATATTGCTATATGTGCACTATATGCGTGCTTGTCATTTTATGGTGACACGATTGACGCTTGCATTCGGAATTCTTATCTATATGTACCTGCCAGTACAACCTCTAGGTACAAATGCTGTCATCTTGCTGATTAATAGACAGCAAGCATCTGTATAACAGCAACACATTTCAAGACTTGAAAGTTGCAATCCACATGACAATCTTATACTTCTAAACTTTCTTTTATGCTTGTTGTAAGGTTTTGTCTGTTTTCTTTTCCATTTAGATTCCTGTAATTCCCGATAGCTATGAAGGGATATTGTTGGGTGGCTGTATAGCGTCGATGTGCGGTTTGGTGGCAACCCTCATTGTGTATCTGTTCACATGGAGGTAGGATGTTTGTTATATTGTAATAAGACAAATAAACATTTTGTAATGATATTGATTTTGCTGAACTAGTTAAGGCAACATTTCCATATGCACGTCATGTCCGTTTACTTGTATTGTGCTTGGGTTATCAAGAAAGTATTTTTTCTGGAGAATAAATATAATATATATGCCACATAAGTGAAACATATATTTAAAGTCAGGAGATAATCCAGATAAGCTGTACATATTTAAAAAGAATATTAATGAAAATTCAGCTGAAGGGGTGAAATGTAAGGAAGAAACGACATTGCCCCGCCCCTCCCTCGCCGATTCCGTTAGTCGCCCCACCCCTCCCCGTATCACAAACCAACCAACCAACATCCGTATGAAGTCCATTTAAAGTCTTGCAGCTTGTAAAATCAAACTGACAATCTGACAATATATATGGAAATTAATGCATCATGTCTCGATCTCTTCTTTAATGATCCATAGTTGTCATTTATGAGGTAATAATATGTAATAATATATCATATCCGAACAATTAAAGTAATAAGAAGAGAAAGCATTAAAAGACAGAGAAGTGGATGGTTTTCCATATAAATAACAAAACGACGATTTTATGGTATTTGTGAGAGCCGTTGTATACATGTTTAATTAATATTTGAAGATTGAAACGTTGTAGGAAGCCGCAGAGCGATACCCATAGAGTGAGTGAGTGAGTATGGTTTTACGCCGCTTGTAGCAATATTCCAGCAATATCACGGCGTGGGACACCAGAAATGGGCTTCACACATTGTACCCATGTGGGGAATCGAACCCGGTTCTTCGGCGTGACGAGCGAACGCTTTAACCACTAGGCTACCCCACGCCACCCCGATACCCAAAGACAGAAAGGATAATGTAACATGAGATCCTAACTAGACACAGTGGAATTGGTCTTGTGGGTAAAACCCTCTTGACTAGAACACCGAGTACATTAATATCAGTTTATGCATTAAGCAGCGCTTGGAACGAGTGTTCAATGACTACCTTTAATACAATAGATATTTTTTCAGGCACTTAGTGGGAGAGACCCACTGTATCCACATCAACTTCGTGCTCAGTCTCACCATCATCAACGTCATATGCATCGCTTGTCTTGGGAAGACCCAGATTCAGGTAAAACCCATATGTGCTACTTTACCGTAGGTCTTCACTGAACAGGGCAAACATTGTGTCTTGATGGAATGAGACGAGTGAGTGAGTGAAGTTTAGTTTTACGCCGCACTCAGCAATATTCCAGCCATATGGCGGCGGTCTGTAAATAATCGAGTCTGGACCAGACAATCCAGTATTCAACAAGATGAGCATCGATCTGCGCAATTGGGAACCGATGTGTCAACCAAGCCAGCGAGCCTGACCACCCTATTCCGTTAGTCAGCCTCTTACGACAAGCATGGTAACACCAGAAATGGGCTTCACACATTGTACCCATGTGGGGAATCGAACCCGGGCCTTCGGCATGACGAGCGAACGCTTTAACCACTAGGCTACTCCGCCAAACACTGGTTTGTTTTCAGTTCAGAGGTTCCGAACTGGTGTATTGCATTTTCAAATTCGAATCCTCCCACTATTCGCTTGTGAATATGGGTCCAAATTTCTGCTTGATTTGGGACATACAAGGTAATATTTACTTGAAGCTTTTCTTAAACATCAAGTATGTGACCTCATCTGATAAAGGTCAATCAAAAGGCGAATTCCTTTCCACTGATTTTAGCCACCTGTGAATACGAGAGACCGGTGAGAATCCTCCTCTGTTTAGATACAGATCTACGATGCATGAAACTTCAGAGATAAAACACTCTTTACAAGTCTGTATTACAAGAGTGATGTTACCTGCACCTTGAGTGATATTCCAGCAGCCCTTTACCTTTGGTGTTTACATTTGATCAAGTTTGAGGTGCAATCGAGCATATACCTTCCAAGTGCGTCATACCACTGCTCAAATACGTTTGATCATGTTACAACATTGAATTAGAAAAGCATTCCGAAAGTTGCTTAGAGCATATTTCAATTGTGACGCATCACTGACGGGAATGATAGTCGGAATTGTATAATGGTCTCGTTTAGTTTCACGCTGAATTAGACAGTATTTCGCTAGTAAAAGACAGTCAACATGAACCGATGGGCGTTAGTGAAGTAGGGTCAGGAGTCAACACTTATGCAAGCATTCAAACTAGAACCAGCTAGCAGAACGATACTGAGAGAGTTGGTAAACAACTATTCGTGCGGTTAATGACATAGAATTTGGGTTCCAGAGCCTTACCCCGTGAAAAATAGTAAACACTTGCTGGTGGTGTGTATGCGAATGAATGCGTTTTGAAAGGAATAGTGTTGTAATTGCGTTTCTATGTTTCGACCACTCAGCAGGAGCCTGTCCTTTGTGTTTCCATGGAAACAGCATGACTTACAACAGACTTTTATAGAAGTACAGTTTGCCTGTCCTGGTCCATATGTCATGTCAGCCTGTCAGCTTCCAATGGTGATATTTATTTACAGAAAGTACGTAGCGACCCAATTTGTCTCCTGGTGGTCCCTGCTGTTTTACGACTCAGCGGAAGACATAATTTATTTCTTGCCTCTGGATGTTTGGAGGATGCATCGTGGCAGGTGAAGATAAATGTATCTCACTATGCAACAGCCGCGTACATTTTTATCAAAACTACATCTATAGCGTCGTGTAGAATTCCATTTACAAGGATACAATTGTTCACCATAAAGTCATATTATCATACGTGTAGAGCCCTCATTAGTTGCTATGACAACGTTGGAGACGTCCCACTTGACTGCACAGCGGAGATATCGTAATAGGGTTGGTTGGTTGGTTGGTTGGTTGAATTGTTCACCATAAAGTCATATTATCATACGTGTAAAGCCCTCATTAGTTGCTATGACAACGTTGGAGACGTCCCACTTGACTGCACAGCGGAGATATCGTAATAGGGTTGGTTGGTTGGTTGGTTGGTTGGTTGGTAGTCTGTCGTACAGACCCTGAAGCAAATATATCCAAGAAAGCCCACGCAAGTCTAGGATATGTGGCAAGTCTAGATTTCCACGGCTTCAGGAAGAAAGTCCCTGGGCTCCTTTTTATTGTATTTACAATTTTAATTAAAAACTTTTATTTTCTGTAAAATATGTTCATTTCAGAGACTAGCTGTTAGTCTAGTTGGTTGGTTGTTGGTTAACGCCGCACTTAGCAATATTCCAGCCATATAGCGGCGGTCTGTAAATAATCGAGTCTGGACCAGACAATCCAGTGATCAACAGCATGATCATCGATCTACGCAATTGGGATACGATGACATGTGTCAACCAAGTCTGCGAGCCTGACCACCCGATTCCGTTAGTCGCCTCTTACGACAAGCATAGTACTGAGTGCGGCGTTAAACAACAAACCAACCAACCAACATCCGTATGATGTCAGCCAACTGTAAATAAAGAATCTGGACAAGACTGTCCAGTGATTGGCATCATGATCATCGATCTATTGAGATGCGGTGATATGCCTCAACCAAATCACCGAGTCTAACCCCCAGTTCCTTTAGGTTACACAAAACCAAATGTTTTCCCCTAGTCTTCATTAGTAACATTATATTGTGTTTTAAAAAAAGGTCATTATCAGACATTAAATGTATATATATGCACGGTTTGGTCTATAAGTCACAATAAAAACACAAATTTTGGATAGGTTGAACACACCAACCCCAGTTCCGCACCAAACGTTAGCTACTTCAAAATATGTCAGCCTGGTTCCCGGGGTCTGCTGCGCTAACTAGACTGGGCTACGGACTGACTGACTGAGTTTTGGTTTTACGCCGCTTTTAGCAATATTCCAGCAACATCACTGCGGGGGACACCAGAAATGGGCTTCACACATTGTACCCATGTGGGGATTCGAACCCGGGTCTTCGGCGTGACGAGCCAACGCTTTAACCACTAGGCTACCCCACCGCCCCTGGGCTACGGAAAGCAAAGTAATCTGATTTGGATTAGTAAAACCTCAAGTCGCCTCGTAGCCTCAGTTGCTGAAGAAAAATTCTAATGCTAATCATCACGGTTGTTGTCGGTGATGTGAATGATAAAGTCAACATGGCTGTGTCTTGGTTCGTAAGTTTGCAGTGTTTCGGCGAATCTTTGTTAAGCCTGGTAACGTTTTTGATAACTTTTTTATTCAAATTTAATTTTAAATCCATTTACGTGTATAGTTTCTTTTGCCAAGCAATGTATATCATACTGTCTTCGTGTGTTAGAAACGAGACTTCATGAGGTTTTCTGTCAAAATTATTTAAAAAGATATTTGAGTGACATTTGCCAGACGTTAGATTTATATCAAAAATGGCACATTTGAAGACGAGAAACGATTTGAAATGTGATTATAATAAAACACATATTATGATCTGTTCGTGTTTTAACTTCTGTGAAAGATACCGCCATCCGTCATTATTTTCACTACCATAAAGAAGTCGTCAGTTGGCATAATGTCAACTTGAAACAATACACTTTGCTATTTCCTCGTCTACACCTGCAGGCTCACATATTTGCTACAGTCTGTCTCACAGTCCCTGAACCACATTATTTCCCTAATGCATAGCCATCCCTGCAATGCTAAAGCCTTACATGAAGCAAGTCTAGATTTCCCCTGAATCTCACTGGGGCTCCTTTTCAATTTAAATGGGTTTATTTGTTACAATCAAAATTATATATATTCAGGGACTATGCGTTAGTTTAATATTGGCTATTCCAAGACTGTCCCACCGGCGCGCTAGTTTCAAATATAGTTAATAGCAGTGTTCGCTGCCATTGATGAACCCTAGGTTTCCATCGTTCTTTTCGCCACAAAGAATATTGACTGCAAACCTTTGGTAATAACTTCAGAAAGACCGGTCCCGAAGATTGCAAAGAAGTTCTTCACTTGATTGCGCATTGATTTGTATGAGACGAAGGGTTTATCGATTGAATGTGCACAGTTTCATCTGAAAGTGAAACGATATTAACTATAAGCGTCAAAGCCCTTTCCACATTTATGACAAATCGATTGCACGTTTCCGACTATATCATGACCACGTGTTTATAAATGACCATGAAATAGTGATGGCACCAGGTGTTCGCGAATATCTAAGCGTATCCTGCTCCATTGGAGTGAGTGAGTGAGTATGGTTTTACGCCGATATTTGCAATATTCCAGCAATATCACGGCGGGGGACACCAGAAATGGGCTTCACACATTGTACCCATGTGGGGAAACGAACCCCGGTCTTCGGCTGGACGAGCCAACGCTTTAACCACTAGGCTACCCCACTCCGTCATTAATTTGAATCGTGTTGTATAAACAATACATAGAGTTTTTAAAATGTTGCTTGTGAAAACAAAATACATTTCAATAAGGTTTTATTTTCATTGAGAAACAAGTGCAAACAAGTGTTCTTACTTGACGCCGTTTAAAAGATTTTATATTGGGAATGGTTACAAATCGCACCGCATGTTTTCGTGAGTTGTATTATTCCAATGTAGTAAGAAATCATACAGTCTGCGGATGATATCTGTATGACATTTGTATGATATCTGTAGCATATTAACACTAAGAGGTGCAGGGAATAGAGCGGGGAGGTCGATGGTACTTGGTGTTGCCCAGCCTGGTGCTCGCTATGGGGATAAAAACAGGGACTCTGCACTCCGAGTCGGTACACTGCGAGGGGTATCCATCTTAAACTGATGGATGGCATCTCAGTGGGATACACTATATAACGACAGATAATAACGTTACTATGGCGTACCTCCCGTGATATTACTTGAATGCGTCGGGGTAGCCTATAAGTTTAAGCGTTCGCTCTTCACACCGAAGACCCGGGTTTGATGCCCCACAAGGGTACAATGTGTGATGCCCATTTCTGGTATTATTTATTGGATTATTGTTAAAAGCGGCGTAAAACTAAACTCATTCAACCTTTTGAATGTTATTGCCCCAAAAAGCACAAAGTGTTTAAGTAAAGTTAGGTGAGGTGAGGTGAAATTGGGTTTAACGTCGTGCTTGAGAATATTTCGCTCATATGACGACGTGCATGCGTGTGTATGTGTATACATGTGCGGCTGATTGAACTAGCCAAGACTGAAGCTGGTGTTATAGTGCTAGCCCATTGAGATACCATGCCGCAGTGAAGCATGAATACCCCACTCAGACACATTATACTGACTCCGAGTCGACCAGTCCTTGTTGTACCCATTAATGCCGAGCGTCAGGCAGGTACTAACAAGTACCATATTTTAACGTCATTTGGCATGACGCGGTCGGGGACGCTCTAACCACTACACCATGGAGGCGGTCAGTAAATGTAGGAGGGGTGGTGAAAGGGTTGAGTTTAACACCGATTTTAGAACATTAATGTATGGAACATGAGAAATCGGCCTCACACATTGTATATCTATACATCCAAATTACCTTGCGCAATGGGAATCATAAACTACTTTAGCGCATTCCATATATGATTTGTTTTAGCTATAAACTTTTATCGCATTCAAAAGAAACACTGACTCGTTAAACAGTCAGGAAACTTGTGCTATCTCTTTGTGAAGTTGACAACATAACGAGAGCTACCAGTGTATCCAATTTCGCATATAGGTGATAAATTGTTAGCAGGAACGAAAAATGGGAAAAAACGTCTCCTCGGAAAGTGCTCGATTCTTCGTCAAAATTACAAAAGCAGCACAATAGAATGCATGGTTGTCCTTTAGTAGGAGATAACCAGAAGCCCCAACGATGAAGTGCAGACACGATGATATTTCCATCTCTGCATTTCAGGCTCTGTGTGCCGCTGGCAAGGTCCTCCTCCAGTTCTTCTACCTAGCTGCCTTCTCCTTCCTATTCGTCGAGGCAGTCCACATGTTTGTCACAGTCCACGCCCGCCGGAGTGTGTCTGGGGGATTTCTCAAGTACTTCCTTATTGGATGGGGTAGGTGATCAATCTGTGTTGAATCTATCGTGTCACTGACATGTAGCCTGTCTCACAGTCCCTTAACCGAATTAATTTCACTTCCGCCCTCCCCGTTCTGCAATGCTTAAGTCCTAAATGAAGCAAGTCTAGATCCACATCCACATCCTGTAGCCTACATCCTAGATTCCTTTAGGTTCAGGTTCTGAATCTCCCATCTCACTGGAGCTCCTATTCTATTTAAAAGGAATTATTTGTTTCTATCGAAATTATTAATATTCAGAGACTACGCGTTAGTCTAGTTGCTCGGTAATTTTAACTTTAAACAAACGGATAAATAACTCATATCATCAAAAAATCCTATTGCATTACAGGAACTGTCCTCAAAATAAGGCCAAATGTTTGTTTGAGATGGACTGATCCGTCCAAAAGATGTCGCCATGTGGAGCTAACGAAAGTTAGACGGATAAATAGTTTCACTGTTCGTATCATGATTGGAAATAGTTGTTACAATATCTTCTTCAACTCTCATCGTATTTACCAGATGTTTGGAGACATACGGAATGCTCCTGTTTGCTCTAGAACTATCTGTGATGCATCCCACATCCTACATCCTATATCCTATATCCTCCATCTGCCCGTGAGCGTAATTTCGTTGGTTCAGCTCCCTGGGTGTGTCACACTAAAATACGATACTTGTTGTTACCCTGCCTTCCGCACGGCATTAAGGGGATAAAACACGAGTGACCTGCTCTGATTCAGAATGGTGTGTGGGTGAGTGAGTTCGGTGACCCGTGCCCACAACCAGACAAATGGGTATCCTGTGTGGTCCCTACGTGAGGGGATACAGCGACCTGCTGGGACCTCCGAGAGGTACCCATGTTAAACTGCGGTAGGATTTCTCAGTGGGCAAGCACTATAAAACGGCCATTAATGTAGTACAAGAACAGCAATAATCATAAACGCGACATGACACCCCTTTCATATGGGAGAGGGGGAAGACACGCCGATATACGCTGTGCAGAGTTGCGTCCCTTAGTCGCTCGAGAAATCACGAGGTTTGTCGGAAACTAGTCTGTCTGACAGTCCCTGAACCGCAATATTTTACCTTCCGCCTAGCCCATTCTGCAAAACTGAAGCCCTAAATGAAACAAGTCTAGATTTCATCAGGATCTGAATCTCCTATCTCACTGGGGCTCCTTTTCAATTAAATAGAAATTGTTTGTTTCTATCAAACTTATATTTTCAGAAACGTGTATGTTCAGTCCAGTCGTGCTTCTGCCAGTTGCTAGTTGGTTTCACAATAGTGTGCCTCCCAGTCTCATAATGGCGTAAACTAAACCTCATCCACTGACTCACACACATTTAGTGAAACTATGCTAGCGTCACTTGCACTACGAACGGTGACAATAACAGTGCAGGTCTGCTGATTAGAAAAAAGGTATACATGTAATTATCTTTTCCCCGACATTCTAAGCTCTGTGTGATAATTATCTTAGTGTATGAATCATCGGCGAATGCTACGTGATGTCAGGCTTGGAATGACTGGTGAAACAGTTTGTACGTTTTTTACCGTAAAACCCATCGTAAATATATCATAATTTATCATCCCAAACTGTGTTCCACAGGAGATATTGCTTGTGTGAGGTCAGACGATATCTCCTAGGTGATATAGCTTTGACAATAGATTTTGTACAATGCCCTGACAATGCTATGACGTCAAGAACTTGATGACGTCACAATGCTATGACATCGCTGCACTGCAAGTCTAATGGCAGTTCTGTGTTCAGAGATGTACATTTTTCATTGAAAACAAATGAAGAGTGATTTTTGATGATAAATAGAATCTCACCCTCGTGTCTTCTGATATCAAATATATCAACACTCGTTGATAAAAGTAAAAATATCGTCGGCAAGCCTCTGATATTTGTGCCTTTATCAACTCGTGGTGATATATTTGATATCAAAAGACACTCGGGTGAGATTCTCTATATATCAACACGTCGTTGTTCTCGTTGTCGTCATTGTCATCATTTCCTGATAGCATTAGTATCATCATCATCATCATCATCAACATCAACATCAACATCGTTCTCGTCGTCGTCATGATCATCGTTGTCGTCGTTATCATTGTCTTTAATAATCTTGAATGTCTTGACGTTTCAAGACTCGAAGCACAGAGTGTAATGGTTGCACCCGCTCTTCAGGATTGTTTAATTAAACCAGATACCACTGGCCTGGTGTGTCATCATATCACTAGCTGTCACGTGTAGCTTCATCTTATATGTCGACATTTTGTGTACAAGAAATGAAATCTTCCCCGAAGTTAATAAGCAGGTAGGAATAATGACAGAATAAAGGGATTCGTGTGGACACCGTGCTTCCTGTTATGAGACATGTTTCATGATTCCGCTGTCTATTTTTGGGCTTAGATTTGTGTAATATTCATAATAGTTTCATCACTCATTTGGTCGTGATCCTTATGTCTATTAAGTGGTACTGATATGGTAACTGCCATATTGGTAACCGGTGGCTAAGTTATGCAAGGCGGTGGAATTGGAATTGCGTCCCTTGACCTTGTCATCACTCACTCACTCACTCACTCACCAGGGGTGGATCCAGAGGGGGTTGGAGGGAAAAAGTATTCATTGAGGAGCAGCTCCCTCTAACCTTTGGACTCCATGATTTGTGTGCACCCCCTTCTCTAAAATCCTGGATCAGCCCCTGTTTGTTTGCTCACTCACTCACTCACTCACTCACTCACTCACTCACTCACTCACCAGATTAATCTAGAGTTTCCTTGATCCAAATCTCTATTCTTAAACTCAAGCATAACATTCACACAAATCGATAAGAACAGCTCGAAAGGACCGAAAGTAATACCTTACAATTACAACTAACAAGATGGCCGTACGTTTTTTTCAGAAAATATAAATTACCCTCAAACAAAAAATGATAATTTTCCATATTCTACATTTTCCCGGTTACTGTTCGATGTGCAAATAACATCCAGCCGTAAATGGTGGAAATATTGAATATTCTAACCACTGGAAACGTGAACTTAATTCCAACTTTGGCATTTTAGTTAAGAAAATTGGAATCGACTCTCAGAAGTTATCTTTTCTTTTGCACTTTTCCATGGCAACAACTGAACGTGTGCATCGTAATGAGGAATATTTTGTTAAGCAGTGACAAGTCAATCATAAACCGGAATATGTTTAAGGATGAGCAATGAGTATCCCTGTTATCTCAACTCAATCAGGGAGGTTTTTCTGATAATTAAATTGAAACTTTTAACTCCAAGTCTGTCAATCTGTCAATTTCCCCTTGACATTATTGATTCCAGTTTAATTTACACAAAATTCGAAATGATGCCTTCAAGTTAATGGACACATGAACTGCCCAAGTAATTATGTTGTATATGAATAATAAGTATAGGTTTCATTTCTGTTTCACTGTGCGAAACTGGCACAATTTGGACATCTTGTAGTGAACAATAAATAGCCTCACGTCCTTACACGTTTAAATGTTTTGGTTAATATCCATAAAGATAGTTTATCACTTTAATAAATATATTTTTATCCGGGGATGTACTTATCATAAATGTCACTTTTCCCTAAAATTGCTGTCATAATTTTACGAGGGCTTAATAACGCAATAATTTTTTTTACCAATACAATTCCCAATAATTCATTTCTCAAGGGCCAGTTGACGGACAGTTACACAACAAAAATGTGTTGATTGAACAAACATACAATTTTAAGCCAGGTTTTCGAATATTTTCTCTCATGGTAATTCTTGGACGATATGCAATTAACGTCCCCCGTTCTGAATACTTGTGGGGCGGTGGGGTAGTCTAATGGTTAAAACGTCCGCTCGTCACGCCGAAAACCCGGGTTCGATTCCCCACAATGTGTGAAGCCCATTTCTGGTGTCCCCCACCGTGATATTGCTGGAATATTGCTAAAAGCGGCATAAAACCAAACTTACTCACTCACTCACTCACTACACGGAGGCTGGTCATAATATCAATCACATGTTCCCTGGTCCAGAGTTGATTATTTACAGGCAACCGTCTTAGGTTTTGGCTCAGTCCGAGTGGGACGGGGGAAAACCCAGACAAATAACATTTGGTTTCAAACCCCAGGTTTGCCATGATTCATCTATGGTTTACGTGCGCCATGTTCGTGCAAATGGGCTTCCCCAAACATAATCTGCCAGGCAAAGAAAATCTTCAGCCATGTTTAATAGTATATTTTATAACTATGTATGTCCATTTGATGGTGGACCCGTCAAGATCCGGGTTAGAATTAATCTTCAGCAACGCATGCTTGTCGTAAGAGGCAACTAACGGGATCGGGTGGTCAGACTCGCTGACTTGGTTGACACATGTCATCGGTTCCCATTTGCGTAGATCAATGCTCAAGCTGTTGATCACTGGATTGCCTGGTCCAGACTCGATTATTTACATATAGTTGGAATATTGCTGAATGACGTGTCGTTGTTGTCACGTGTCGATTTCCAAGTTGAAGGGGTGGTGGAGTAGCCTAGTAGTGGCGTTCGCTCGCCACGCTGAAGTTCCGGGTTCGAAGCCCATTTCTGGTGTCCCCGAGTGCCGCACTATTGCTGAAGCGGCTTAAAACCCAACTTACTCACTCACTCACTCGAGCAACACATGGGTAGCATATCACAGTCAACAAAAGCAGGGGTAAAATAGTAAATTTCACGAGTATACTTTATTTTTCCTGACGGTTTCGCCATAAACGTCAACGAAATCACATCAACTTGGTGTCTTCCCTCATGAAAGTGAATGTAGCGGTTCCCGCCAGAAATGGATTTAAAACATGTTGGGAATCGAACCCGTGTCTTCGGTGTGATGAGCGAACACTTTAACCACAAAGCGGCTGCCCGACTGCCCCAGCCCTCTTCATGCTGACATGCTGTAATGGTCTAAGGGAAATACTAACTAAACCTCTCTTCCCATCTTATACAAAAAGTCTCCTTCGCTTATCATGTTTCTGTCTTCTTCCAGGAATACCTACTTTGGCAACCGGAAGTGTCGTGGTGGCGTCAGAGAGATATGGGTTACGACGAACGTTGTCATGAGTGGTAAGCGTGGCGCGTGTAAGATGTCATGCAGATAAAAAACGGGATAGCATTCTTCTCTGACACGTGACAGTCTTGTAGGGGAAAATATATGCTGTTCAGGTCTGAGAGTTTAGTCTTTGGGGTTTTCATCCTCTGCGTGACAGCACGTTAACCAAATATAGGCATCCGTCAAAAATACGGTATGGTCGACTGAAACGTTTGGATATATATACATAACGACGAAGTATTTGAATTACCAATTAAACAGAACGTAGTAACTGATCTTTTAAAATGAAGAATAAGTGAAATATGGTACACCGGCATTAAACTATATCGGCACCTTTCAAAATGAACCTCTCTCTCTCCTCTCTCTCTCCTCTCTCTCTCTCTCTCTCTCTCTCTCTCTCTCTCTCTCTCTCTCTCTCTCTCTCTCTCTCTCTCTCTCTCTCTCTCTCTCTCTCTCTCTCTCTCTCTCTCTCTCTCTCTCTCTCTCTCTCTCTCTCTCGGGGTGGTGGTTAGTTATATATCTCAGTTTTGTATACATCATACCATGTTTCCCTTTTCCTTATGAGAATTCTGCAGCTGATGTGGGCTGGTGTGTTTGTAAATGACCAGAAATCTCAGACTTTCGATCTGATACCGTTTTTTACAGAGTTTCACAATCGGAAACTCTACATGTGATGGATTGAATGTCCTGTGAGAGAAACACTGCTGTTTTCATAGTTCTGTATGTGATTTTGTCGCAACGGCTTAGCATATTAGGTCAAATATCCCTTAGATAGGACAGACATTTATTGTGATTAATTTTGTAAAAAGGTTCGATCCATTCGTGAAAATGTCGGCGTTATTAAAAACTGGACACAGCGTAGCCTCAGGCATACGGCGTGATCGATCATTTCATTTCACACTTCAAAAGATTTGTTATTTCTGTTTGCCATAAAACAAAGAAAATTAAAAGCCTGTTGTCTGTAAACCTGTAAGCTAGATTGAAAATACGATTTTGTCTGGTGTCTTGACCTCCACAGATCCAAGCACTGACTGTCAGTTAATTTCTCGCGGGCTTATATTGATGTTTGTGACATGACCTGAAGGGTTTATACTGTTGACATGAACGTGATGTTGACCTGAATGGTTTATACATGATGTGACATGATTCCTGAAGGGTTTATATGTTGATGTGAACGTGATGAAAGGGTTTATACTGTTGACATGAACGTGATGTTGACCTGAATGGTTTATACTGTTGACATGAACGTGATGTTGAACTGAAGGGTTTATACTGTTGACATGAACGTGATGTTGACCTGAAGGGTTTATACTGTTGACATGAACGTGATGTTGACCTGAAGGGTTTATACTGTTGACATGAACGTGATGTTGACCTGAAGGGTTTATACTGTTGACATGAACGTGATGTTGACCTGAATGGTTTATACTGTTGACATGAACGTGATGTTGACCTGAAGGGTTTATACTGTTGACATGAACGTGATGTTGACCTGAAGGGGTTTATACTGTTGACATGAACGTGATGTTGACCTGAAGGGTTTATACTGTTGACATGAACAATGTTGACATGAACGTTGATGTTGACGAACGTGATGTTGACCTGAAGGGTTTATGTATTGACATTGACATGACCTGAACGTGATGTTGACCTGAAGGGTTTATACTGTTGACATGAACGTGATGTTGACCTGAAGGGTTTATACTGTTGACATGAACGTGATGTTGACCTGAAGGGTTTATACTGTTGACATGAACGTGATGTTGACCTGAAGGGTTTATACTGTTGACATGAACGTGATGTTGACCTGAAGGGTTTATACTGTTGACATGAACGTGATGTTGACCTGAAGGGTTTATACTGTTGACATGAACGTGATGTTGACCTGAAGGGTTTATACTGTTGACATGAATGATGTTGACTCTGGAAAGGGTTTATATTGTTGACATGAACGTGATGTTGACCTGAAGGGTTTATACTGTTGACATGAACGTGATGTTGACCTGAAGGGTTTATACTGTTGACGTGGATGAACCTGATGTTTTGACCTGTACATGAAGGGTGTTGACGTGGGCAGTGTTGGCCGAAGGGTTTATGCTACCGTTGACATGAGCATTGATGTTGACCTGAAGGGTTTATACTGTTGACATGAACGTGATGTTGACCTGAAGGGTTTATATTGTTGACATGAACGTGATGTTGACCTGAAGGGTTTATACTATGAACGGTTGACATGAACGTGAACGATGTTGACCTGAAGGGTTTATACTGTTGACATGAACGTGATGTTGACCTGAAGGGTTTATACTGTTGACATGAACGTGATGTTGACATGAAGGGGTTTATATTGTTGACATGAACGTGATGTTGACCTGAAGGGTTTATATTGTTGACATGAACGATGATGTTGACCTGAATGGTTTATACTGTTGACATGATGTGATGTTGACCTGAAGGGTTAATACTGTTGACATGAACGTATGATGTTGACCTGAAGGGTTTATACTGTTGACATGAACGTGATGTTGACCTGAAGGGTTTATACTGTTGAGGGTCTGGTGATTTAAGGGCTATGGCAAGACATTGACGTTGGAATTCTGCAGAAAGTTCATTGTTGCACGTGCAGTATGAGGCCGGGCGTTGTCTGGTTGAAAAATCTGTGTCTGTTGGTCAATAATCGGGAGAAGGTGAGGCTGTAATACGTGGTTGATGTAACGTTGGGCTGTCAGGTTCCCTTCAACGATCACCAAGTCTGATTTCTGGTTGTATGAGATGGATCCCCAAACCATAACGCTTTCTCGCCAAATCTGTCCCCTGTCGGACGCAGATGGGCGCAAAACGTTCATGACGTCTCCTATACACACGTTTTCTTCCGTCGTGATGTTGCAAAGAAAACGGGATTCATCAGAAAACCAGATGCGCCTCCAGTTTTTGTAAAAGTCCATATCCTTACGTTGTTGCACCACCTGAGTCGTCGGCGGAGATGTAGGGGCGTAGTACAGGTCCAACAACTGGTCTACAGGCACGTAAACCCGCTTCTTTCAGACGGTTCCTAATCGTTTGAGCTGACACTCTCCTCAAACCTGGTATTTGTGTGGCAGTCACGGTTGGTAGGGCATGCCGATTACGCAGGTGATGGACCCGGATGTACCGATCTTGAAGGGGGTCGTGATTCTTGGCCTTCCACTTCTCGGGCGATCGTTGGTCAAATTGAAGTTGTTGTAGCGGCTCCAAAGTCGGGATATCGTTGTTTTGTGAACATTTAGGTGCCGTGCAACAGTTCCAAAACTTTCTCCGGCTGAACACGACCAATGGCGATATTTCGGTCGGCAACACTCAATCGTGGCATTTTTAACACAGCTTTTCGGCGACAAATGAATGAATATAATACGAAAGCACATGGGCTTTTATACCCCTACATTAACTGCCATTTTCATGATTTGCATGTGTGTTTTTTTGTGCAGAAGTCACCCTTCATTCAAACGAATTTTCATATCTGAGGACAGGGGTTGCGTTTCTTTTTTGACAGAGTTTATAAATTACCTTCAAACAAAAATGATAATTTTCCATATTCTACATTTTCCCGGTTACTGTTCGATGTGCAAATAACATCCAGCCGTAAATGGTGGAAATATTGAATATTCTAACCACTGGAAACGTGAACTTAATTCCAACTTTGGCATTTTAGTTAAGAAAATTGGAATCGACTCTCAGAAGTTATCTTTTCTTTTGCACTTTTCCATGGCAACAACTGAACGTGTGCATCGTAATGAGGAATATTTTGTTAAGCAGTGACAAGTCAATCATAAACCGGAATATGTTCAAGGATGAGCAATGTGTATCCCTGTTATCTGAACTCAATCAGGGGAGGTTTTTTCTGATAATTAAATTGAAACTTTTAACTCCAAGTCTGTCAATCTGTCAATTTCCCCTTGACATTATTGATTCCAGTTTAATTTACACAAAATTCGAAATGATGCCTTCAAGTTAATGGACACATGAACTGCCCAAGTAATTATGTTGTATATGAATAATAAGTATAGGTTTCATTTCTGTTTCACTGTGCGAAACTGGCACAATTTGGACATCTTGTAGTGAACAATAAATAGCCTCACGTCCTTACACGTTTAAATGTTTTGGTTAATATCCATAAAGATAGTTTATCACTTTAATAAATATATTTTTATCCGGGGGATGTACTTATCATAAATGTCACTTTTCCCTAAAATTGCTGTCATAATTTTACGAGGCTTAATAACGCAATATTTTTTTACCAATACAATTCCCAATAATTCATTTCTCAAGGGCCAGTTGACGGACAGTTACACAACAAAAATGTGTTGATTGAACAAACATACAATTTTAAGCCAGGTTTTCGAATATTTTCTCTCATGGTAATTCTTGGACGATATGCAATTAACGTCCCCCGTTCTGAATACTTGTGGGGCGGTGGGGTAGTCTAATGGTTAAAACGTCCGCTCGTCACGCCGAAAACCCGGGTTCGATTCCCCACAATGTGTGAAGCCCATTTCTGGTGTCCCCCACCGTGATATTGCTGGAATATTGCTAAAAGCGGCATAAAACCAAACTTACTCACTCACTCACTCACTACACGGAGGCTGGTCATAATATCAATCACATGTTCCCTGGTCCAGAGTTGATTATTTACAGGCAACCGTCTTAGGTTTTGGCTCAGTCCGAGTGGGACGGGGGAAAACCCAGACAAATAACATTTGGTTCAAACCCCAGGTTTGCCATGATTCATCTATGGTTTACCTGCGCCATGTTCGTGCAAATGGGCTTCCCCAAACATAATCTGCCAGGCAAAGAAAATCTTCAGCCATGTTTAATAGTATATTTTATAACTATGTATGTCCATTTGATGGTGGACCCGTCAAGATCCGGGTTAGAATTAATCTTCAGCAACGCATGCTTGTCGTAAGAGGCAACTAACGGGATCGGGTGGTCAGACTCGCTGACTTGGTTGACACATGTCATCGGTTCCCATTTGCGTAGATCAATGCTCAAGCTGTTGATCACTGGATTGCCTGGTCCAGACTCGATTATTTACATATAGTTGGAATATTGCTGAATGACGTGTCGTTGTTGTCACGTGTCGATTTCCAAGTTGAAGGGGTGGTGGAGTAGCCTAGTAGTGGCGTTCGCTCGCCACGCTGAAGTTCCGGGTTCGAAGCCCATTTCTGGTGTCCCCCGAGTGCCGCACTATTGCTGAAGCGGCTTAAAACCCAACTTACTCACTCACTCACTCGAGCAACACATGGGTAGCATATCACAGTCAACAAAAAGCAGGGTAAAATAGTAAATTTCACGAGTATACTTTATTTTTCCTGACGGTTTCGCCATAAACGTCAACGAATCACATCAACTTGGTGTCTTCCCTCATGAAAGTGAATGTAGCTTTACGCCGCGTTTAGCGAGGCGGTTCCCACGCCAGAAATGGATTTAAAACATGTTGGGAATCGAACCCGTGTCTTCGGTGTGATGAGCGAACACTTTAACCACAAAGCGGCTGCCCGACTGCCCCAGCCCTCTTCATGCTGACATGCTGTAATGGTCTAAGGGAAATACTAACTAAACCTCTCTTCCCATCTTATACAAAAAGTCTCCTTCGCTTATCATGTTTCTGTCTTCTTCCAGGAATACCTACTTTGGCAACCGGAAGTGTCGTGGTGGCGTCAGAGAGATATGGTTACGACGAACGTTGTCATGAGTGGTAAGTGTGGCGCGTGTAAGATGTCATGCAGATAAAAAAACGGGATAGCATTCTTCTCTGACACGTGACAGTCTTGTGGGGAAAATATATGCTGTTCAGGTCTGAGAGTTTAGTCTTTGGGGGTTTTCATCCTCTGCGTGACAGCACGTTAACCAAATATAGGCATCCGTCAAAAATACGGTATGGTCGACTGAAACGTTTGGATATATATACATAACGACGAAGTATTTGAATTACCAATTAAACAGAACGTAGTAACTGATCTTTAAAAATGAAGAATAAGTGAAATATGGTACACCGGCATTAAACTATATATCGGCACCTTTCAAAATGAACTCTCTCTCTCTCTCTCTCTCTCTCTCTCTCTCTCTCTCTCTCTCTCTCTCTCTCTCTCTCTCTCTCTCTCTCTCTCTCTCTCTCTCTCTCTCTCTCTCTCTCTCTCTCTCTCTCTCTCTCTCTCTCTCTCTCTCTCTCTCTCTCTCTCTCTCCCTCTCGGGGTGGTGGTTAGTTATATATCTCAGTTTTGTATACATCATACCATGTTTCCCTTTTCCTTATGAGAATTCTGCAGCTGATGTGGGCTGGTGTGTTTGTAAATGACCAGAAATCTCAGACTTTCGATCTGATACCGTTTTTTACAGAGTTTCACAATCGGAAACTCTACATGTGATGGATTGAATGTCCTGTGAGAGAAACACTGCTGTTTTCATAGTTCTGTATGTGATTTTGTCGCAACGGCTTAGCATATTAGGTCAAATATCCCTTAGATAGGACAGACATTTATTGTGATTAATTTTGTAAAAGGTTCGATCCATTCGTGAAAATGTCGGCGTTATTAAAAACTGGACACAGCGTAGCCTCAGGCATACGGCGTGATCGATCATTTCATTTCACACTTCAAAAGATTTGTTATTTCTGTTTGCCATAAAACAAGAAAATTAAAAGCCTGTTGTCTGTAAACCTGTAAGCTAGATTGAAAAATACGATTTTGTCTGGTGTCTTGACCTCCACAGATCCAAGCACTGACTGTCAGTTAATTTCTCGCGGGCTTATATTGATGTTTGTGACATGACCTGAAGGTTTATACTGTTGACATGAACGTGATGTTGACCTGAATGGTTTATATTGTTGACATGAATGTGATGTTGACCTGAAAGGTTTATACTGTTGACATGAATGTGATGTTGACCTGAAGGGTTTATACTGTTGACATGAATGTGATGTTGACCTGAAGGGTTTATACTGTTGACATGAACGTGATGTTTGTTGACATGAACGTGATGTTGACCTGAAGGGTTTATACTGTTGACATGAATGTGATGTTGACCTGAAGGGTTTATACTGTTGACATAAATGTGATGTTGACCTGAAGGGTTTATACTGTTGACATGAACGTGATGTTGACCTGAAGGGTTTATACTGTTGACATGAACGTGATGTTGACCTGAAGGGTTTATACTGTTGACATGAACGTGATGTTGACCTGAAGGGTTTATACTGTTGACATGAACGTGATGTTGACCTGAAGGGTTTATACTGTTGACATGAACGTGATGTTGACCTGAAGGGTTTATACTGTTGACATGAACGTGATGTTGACCTGACATGAACGTGATGTTGACCTGAAGGGTTTATACTGTTGACATTGACATGAAGGGACTGTTGACGTGACGTGATGTTGACCTGAAGGGTTTATACTGTTGACATGAACGTGATGTTGACCTGAAGGGTTTATACTGTTGACATGAACGTGATGTTGACCTGAAGGGTTTATACTGTTGACATGAACGTGAACCTGAAGGACTGTTGACATGAACGTGATGTTGACCTGAAGGGTTTATACTGTTGACATGAACGTGATGTTGACCTGAAGGGTTTATACTGTTGACATGAACGTGATGTTGACCTGAAGGGTTTATACTGTTGACATGAACGTGATGTTGACCTGAAGGGTTTATAGATGTTGACCTGAACGTGATGTTGACCTGAAGGGTTTATACTGTTGACATGAACGTGATGTTGACCTGAAGGGTTTATACTGTTGACATGAACGTGATGTTGACCTGAAGGGTTTATACTGTTGACATGAACGTGATGTTGACCTGAAGGGTTTATACTGTTGACATGAACGTGATGTTGACCTGAAGGGTTTATATTGTTGACATGAACGTGATGTTGACCTGAAGGGTTTATACTGTTGACATGAACGTGATGTTGACCTGAAGGGTTTATACTGTTGACATGAACGTGATGTTGACCTGAAGGGTTTATACTGTTGACATGAACGTGATGTTGACCTGAAGGGTTTATATTGTTGACATGAACGTGATGTTGACCTGGCTGTTGACATGAACGTGATGTTGACCTGAAGGGTTTATACTGTTGACATGAACGTGATGTTGACCTGAAGGGTTTATACTGTTGACATGAACGTGGTGTTGACCTGAAAATTTTGATGTTTTTGAAATGAACGTGACGATACCTGAAGACATGTGTGACATGACTTCAATGATTGTTTCCAGGTGCTGGTTATCAGACACTCACTGGCATTTCTACTCCTTCCTTGTGCCTGTGATAGTTCTAGTCGTGGTGAGTCAGATACTTCCAATAAATCCTTTTGTTCTAGAATTGATTAATATCGTTGCTTGGACATTCATAAAATAGCGTAGATTTAATTACCATTCCCTCAGAAGCTACTAGTTCCATAAAACATTAAACATTGTTGATTCTAAGCAACTCGGTTCAGTTTTATTGTCATACTTATTGAATCAGTTTGGCACATATTTAGGACTGGTTATTGTAAACGTCCATGTTTGATATAAATTTATATCATTTGAATTTTCATAATGCTGGCGTAAACCATCCAGTCGAAAACGTAGAGGAATGTCTGCTGAGATGTATTTTGCTCCGTTCCAGTAACGAGCACTTTGTGGAACACGATCCTATTTTTAAGCACGCTTACAAGGACTGTTGACAATAACTCATGAACTGTTTCAAGGCAATGGTTTGCTTAACATTTGATAACATTATATACTTCAAAGTGGCGCAGATGCTTTTTATTCTTCCCCATGGTCAAGCTTACTTGTACTGTATATCAAATCCAGTTGAATCTATGTCAAGATCTGGGTTAGAATTGGTGTTCAGCAACCCATGCTTGTCGTAAGAGGCGACTAATGGGATCGGATGGTCAGACTCGCTGACTTCGTTGACACACGTCATCGTATCCCAATCGCGTAGATCGACACCCATGCTGTTGAACACTGGATTGTCTGGTTCAGACTCGATTATTTACAGACTGCCGCCATATAGCTGGAATATTGCGGCATTAAGCAACAAACAATGAAACGCCTTCTGTCTCTAGGCCTTGCTACTCGTGCCATACATCCAGCTCAGTTAAATATATTGACTGTGTAACACATGGTATTTCTTTCTCTAGGCCCAGTTAATTCTCTGCACATTCAGTGTCATCACTGTGCGGGGATGGAAAGAGGAATGGAGATATAAAGATAGAAGGAAACATATGTACGTATACAGGTATTATAAAACCAAGTAAATGAGTATCTACTACAACTGTGCATTCGCATTAAAGTTGCGAATATCGTTTAGCGTTGCTTAGTAATTCATAACATAGCGTAGATTTGATTATAACCACAAATACGGGTAAGTTTGTGGGAGCATGAGTGTGTGTGTGTGCGTGTGTGAAAGGGGGCAAGGGGCAGTATGGGCGCAGGACCATGGGGAGTATGGATGTGCGTGGGGGGGAGTGTGTGTGAGAGTATGGTTGTGGGGGCGTGGGGGAGCAAGTATGGGCGTAGGACCATGGGGGTGTATGTGTGGGAGAGTGGGTATGAGAGCATGGGTGTGGGCAGGGAGTGAGAGAGTGGATGGACGTGGGTGTGTGAAGGGGAGTGGATATTGGAGCATGGGGTGTGTGGGAGTATGGGGGCATGAGGGGCTATGAGTTTCGGAGCATGGGTGTGGGAGAGTGGTTTGGGAGCATGGGCGTTGTAGTGGGATGTCCTTGAAACATATTCTGCTTCTTCTATCACTAAAGCAACATTAATAAGTCACTCTTCCGACAAAGTATAATGCACCACGGCAAATGATATATTATTTTACTTCATCCACAGGTTCACCGCCGGGAAGTGTGGCGTCCTGCAGGTCCTCCTGACCATGTCGTGTGTGTCAGGAACCTTCATTGAGCACAGTTCCAACACTCCCTTCTTGTACATGTTCCTTCTTGTCGAGATTATTTTAGTAAGTATTCCTCAGCACTCTTCAAAAATGTAGTTATTCCTAACTTTTGAGCAACCTGGGAAAAGTCTACTACGGGGTGTGTGGTCACAAATCAGTTGAAGTTAAGCAACGTTGGGCGCGGAGATTCCTTGGATGGGTGACCGCGTGTGACAGCTTGACTCCTGGGAGTTTCTAAGACTTCAGTCCTGCCCCACAACGAAGCACAAGTGATACATGTAGTCTCACTTTAGGCAAGTGAGTTTGTTCAAAATTGCCTCTGTTCACCCAGCAGAAAATGGTGAAAATGGTACCCGGTGAAATAAGTCGCGAGACTATTAACCTTCTAGCGCAGGGGTAGTAATGATCAGATTGTGCGCTTTAAGCAGGATAAAGGAGAAGGCGCATTATAAATACTCTCATTATATTACTACGTTGTATACAGACCCATTCCGCTCGCAAAGACCCGTCCACCCCCTTTGTGAAACATTTCCCCCTAGAATGTTGCGTAGAAAAAGATATATTTGATAAACAGAGAATGGTTGAACTAAATATTTGCCTGCATACGTCACAGAAGGATGGAATGCATGATATTGTACTGACCACAAGATTTATATCCCATTCAGTTGACTTTATCATGAAGTAAAACTATGTATATTTATTGATATGGAGAAGAGCTATGTTTATTTTCTCAAATAGGTCAATGGTTTCCTTTTCTCCGTTTTCAGGGAACGACAGTATTCTGCTTTCTTGTCCTTATGAAACGTCAGGTATGTTGGATGACAAGGTTGTGAATGAGCGAGTTAGATCTAACGGCGATGTTGCAATATTTCTGGAGCACGACGACGTCATGTGTGAGGAACGTCTTCACGAACACGCAGGTCGTAGGAGTAACATGTTGAGACACCAAATCATTGCGTTAATGCTTTCTAAACCAATGTTCATAATCGTGTTTTTGCATACATGATCAGCGGATCCTGGCACGGATAACTGAGACAACTCTATAGCATAATTTACTGCTCTTAGCCAGCTTGCTCAGCAGTGCCCCATTTAACAAAAAGTTGGCCATGCCGTATTCATTATAAATAAACTGTCGACGAAAAGAATATATACACTTACAAATGTGTTTATTACAAAGGTTCTGAAAACAGCCCTTGGCTTCAAACAGTCCCGCGCCGTGATATTGCTGGAATATTGCTAAAAGCGCCGTAAAACTAAACTCACTCACTCACAGTCACAGAAACTCTACAAAAGCAATGACATCTGTATCAAATACAGCACCATCGGAAAACATGTTTTGTTTGTAAGTGTGTCCATCATTCTGTTCACATGAACCTCAAATGTACTGTCCATTGTATATATCACGATCCTTTCTATCTTTCAGATTCGTTTGTCCATTAAGTACATGTTGAACGGATCTGAGAAGTCGGAAATGACAAGGGTAATACTGCCTGGAGCTGTAGTCACCTAGAATCAGTGCGTGTGCGCGTGCCTGTGCGCGTGCCTGTGTGCGTGCCTGCGTGCCTGAGTGCCCGTAGGAGTCTGAGTTAGAACTGTTCTTCAGCAAACCATGCTTGCCGTAAGGGTGACTGACGTGACGCGGGGGCCAGGATCGCTGACTTAGTTGACACGTATCCCAACTGTTTGGGTCGAGGGTCATTATGATCACTGGATTGTCTGGTCCAGATTCGATCATATGTTTATGCATCAAGAGGTCATAGTCGCTGATGACCTGGATCGTTGCTTCTGACGTCAGTCACTCGGTTGAATGGTCAAGATTCGATTAATAACAGACCGCCTTCATATAGCTGGAACAGTGCTGAGTGCGAGCTTCGATCACACACAAACAAGCATCAAACCATTGATATTGCCTATAATGCCAAGTTTGGTTTTGTCTATATATACAGAATACATAAATATATCATATATCGTAAAAGCATTATTGAAAAACGAAGGACACACACACATACAAAGAGAACTTAGTTAAGCACCCCCCCGACATATCTCGCGGTTGAATCAACATGGATTCCAATCATTCTGTCGTTTTTATGAGTCAAAGGATCATACTTTTCAGAAAAACTCATGTTTATCCATCGTGGTCACAAGGGTGCTTAATTAAGTTGTTTGTGTATATATACCTTTAATAGCAATGTGCAGATGACGTCAAATATATTAATCATATACAGGTAATTGTATATTATAAATACAATGCTCGCATAGCGTGTGTTCGAAGTATGTTATTCTTTTAATTATGTGTAGATCATCGTTATTTCTATTATTGATGTTGTCGTGCGAAGGTAACACGTGTTCTAATGAAATTTAACCCGTTTATCCACAAATGAGAATGATGAATTATAAAATTGTTTAAGAAACCATCATGTTGCTATGTTGCACAAGTTGACATCTTAAAAGAAGAGACGCCTGATGACCCCTCCGTTAAAGATGCCAGCTATAGTCTGTTTGCAGTGAAAACGTACCGGTGAATTGCACTTTAAACAAAAATGTAAATCGAATAAAGTGAAATTAACATTGCGAATCCTCATAATTCTACCTTGACAATTGAACATTTAAATCTTAGATTTTTATTCAACTTATGAAAAAGGTGTTTAACAAACGATATTATTTTTTTTGTAGTTTATAATCGCTTATATTGGTTTGTATTACAAGGGGATAAGCGCAGTAGTTGGAACAGTGAAACAAATGCACGTGCGGTACGTGATGAGCGTTAACTTAGACCAACCCTACTTCATCTCGGTGTTTCATTTTATGTGCATACCCCTTGTCATACAAACCAATAATACCGATTTGAAACTATGATCGTTTGTTAAACAACTTTCATCCCAAGTTGATTTCCCAAGATTTCCCAAGAGATTTCAATTTGCAAATGGAAGGTAAAATTATGAGGATTCGCAATCTTAATTTCACTTTATTTGATTTACTTTTTTGTTTAAAGTGAAATTCATCGGTGCGTTTTCACCGCAAACAGGCTATAGTACGTATAACCTCATGATATGTTTACGAAACAACTTTTTCCACCGATGGGTATGAAAGTAACAAACAGCAGATACTGTTGGGTACAGGGGATTTATTAATTGATTTGCAATTCATCGTTCTCATTTAGGGACAAACGGTCATGGCATGAAGTAAAGTGATTTCAATATTTGTCACTTTTCAGAAATTTTCTTCGAGGTCTTTCAAAGGTAAGACCATTGAACTATTTCAGTACAGCCATAACGTAGAAATGAATAAATCGAAATTATAAATGATACAGTTTAGGCACAATGATGTATTGTTACGTCTTAACATTGGAGATGTCCTGTGTGGTTCGTGTTGTGTTTTGTAATGTTTTTGTGGGGTTTTAGTTTTACATATTTTTAGTTCCTCCTGCCCTGTTACACATGGAATAACTCACACTCAAGGTAAAGTGAGTTCCACAGCATGATGTACATGTAATATTGTGTTTCCATGGGTGTTTAAAGGATAACAGAGGAAGAGGGTTTTTTCCATTAGGACAAACACTCATTCACACACTTACATACCTACATTCACACACAACTCAATAGAAATCTGCTGACCTCGTTTCCCATGTTAAATATATATTCTATGATCTTGTTTATTGCTGCTCCAGTGATGCAAAAAAACTATATGATACAACATCTACGCCTGGTAGAACATATCCTGATCACTGTTTCTAAAACCTATGTCCTTTTCTATTTTGTACCTAATGTTTATTTCCTTTACAAATCTACTAAAATAAGTTTTGTTTCGTAACGTTTTTAGCATCCATTCATGTACACATGACCTTGAATGTTGGGAGGCTGCGGTGACAATGGCACCTTGAGATATTAATGTTTTGGGCACCCTTACGGTTAAATCCCCTGGGATTTTGGAAGATCGTGGTGCCTCTGGCACCTTGAGGTGTTAGTGTTTTGGGGCACCCTTATGGTTAAATCCCCTGGAATGATGGAAGATTGTGGGGCTTCTGGTATCTTGAGATTATAGATTTGGGGCACCCTTATGTTAAATCCCCTAGAATGTTGGAAGGAAATGTTGCTTATGGAAATGTTGCTAACACCTTTAGATGTTAATGTTGTGAGCACCTGGCATCCTTGGAAAATGTACTGCAGTTTGAGAAATTTGAGATTGGCGCATCTTTGCATGAGACCTTATGGAAAATGGATGAATCCATTTCATTTGGATTAATTAAACGAATAAATACTAATATTGAGAACTTTTAAACTATTTTAACACATGCTGTAACACGGGTTTTGAAATGTTATGTGAGCATTTCACTGTTTTAGTTATGGTAAATGTGTAATGCCACGATTCTCTTATGACCCATGTTTTGTCAAAAGCATACCAGTTCGTGGTGTTCACCACTTGTTTAGACCTGCTAGGTATAGCTAAATATACTAGACCTGCTAGGTATAGCTAAATATACTTCCCATCGAAAGTTTAGCCTCACTAGTGTAAATATAGCCACTTACTTCAGACAACTGTTCTAAACCAAATTTTGCAAAATATTCCATACTGTTTAAAGGTACTGTTTACACATGAACTGATGTATTGTAAACAATTTGGTAACGTTGAAAAGATTATTGTCATGAGTTCAATAAATGATAAAAATTAGTAAAAATTGGCGAATTTATAACAAAACTTTACACCAAAACGCAGCTGTTCACATGCACGATATTTGCACATGTTTTTCAGCAATTTGATGCATGATCCTCGTGCAATTCATCTGCATAAGATTTGCAGTTGGTTCCCCAAGTTAGGGGAGAAATCAATCTTCGATGTAGCCACACACACATATAGTGAGTGTTTTAAGTGAGTCTAAACTTTTGATGGGAAGTATACTTTGAATGTTCACAAAGCCCATTTCTCTCCATTATGAATACAGTTGTTAAATATATTATTTCTTCAGCATACATGATGCCAGAGAAAATTGACGAGCAACATGAGACTATAGAGGAAAGCATCCACAGACATCAGAGTGAGATCAACCGCAATAAATTCACGCGAGAACGTAAGAAGCAGTTAGAGCATCTCCTTGGCAGCTCATCCTCTGGTGGTTCCGCCTCAGCTTCCGGTTCCGGTTCTGCGTCGGACAATAGCCGAGAGAGCCAGATCCGGTTTGTGATTACCCCTCACAGGGAAACCCCCGCGGATTCTGGAATATCGGACATTGACATCAGTGAAATATGTTCCATGAAGAACACTGTAGATATCCATTACATTTCCCCAGTCCCTGAAGATCAGGATGGATGTGATGCAGATGTGGATGATGATGTGGATAGTCCTTCTGAGATCCTGGTGTGTGCCTCCCGTATGGCTGATGGGTCTTTAGTGACTCTGCATACATGATCCCTAACTTTACATTCCAATAACAGCATGAGTGTGCATATCGTCGTCTTGTATGTTTCCTATTTTGTATCCGGTGTCCGTCAATAATGGACTGTAACTTACTCAATGGAACCTGCATAATTGTTTTAATCCGCCTTTGCGACTTACCTACATTCATAATGCAGCATGGCTAAGTGATGTGAAAGTGATAGATCCCCATTCATCAGGGACCGGGCATTTGGGGAGGGGAACTGGAGATCGGAGGAGGGGGGTATTTTGAAATTATAATGTTTGTTCAAGGTGATATTGACAAAAACGACTTTCTTTATAAATATGTTCACTGCATGTGCTAAAACAAAATATGTTGCCCGAAAAGGGTCGGCTCTTCCCACCAGAGAAAAATATATGTGTTCCAGAAACAGACAGAAACATTAGCAGTCCCTTGTCTAGCAATCTCTCTCCGATTTCCAATACTTCCAGTTCCAAAACTTCAATGGGCGTCCCTAAATGGGTAAATTGTATATAAGTTTAAACCATTTTTAATGTGCTCTTCATTGGTGAGAAGAAAACCTAGGTGAGATGCAAGATGCAGTGATAGGCAAGACACAATGAGAAGCTTGATACATTGAGAGGCAGGATATTAATATGGAAGATACAATGGGAAGTGGTGGTTTTGGTTATGTAGTCAATGCACACTGTCGTTGCAAGGTCTGATTGGCTGTAGAGAAACCCTATAGACTATTCAACCACTACGTCAGTGTGCGTATGTGTAGTTCAAAAGCAGCCTGATGTCCTAGAGAGAACAGTATAGTTCAATTGATTATATTGTGGCTGCAAGGGTAGTTATGAAATGAAAATAAGTTTAAACCTTTAAAAATACCATGTAGGTATCTTATGACGTCTCGATTGAAGAAACTATGCATTAACAGTTTCGAAGAGAAAATGATTGTTTGTCTAGTTAGAATGTTATTAAAAATCTTATAAATATGGCTCAAATAAAATATTTTTATGACCGTTGATGAATATATTGTTGAAAATATACAAAAAATACCACTTGGGGTTTTATTTTCAATGAAAACGAAGATCATATCATCAAGACTTGTTGTGAAGTTGACAGTCGAACTTAAAGTGTATAAATATCGTATTTCAATCAAAGACGTTCATCAATAAATGAATTATTGATTACAAAAGGTTCATATCTCAAAATATTGATTACCGACGAGTTTGCGAAATTCGAAAGTTATGTAATAGCACCAACGTGTCAATATAGACAAACATAAAAAGAATAATTTGCTATGTGTCGAAATCTAACATGTAAATTCGAATTCTTATACCAATGAATGAATTATAAAGGAGGAGTTTTGAAAAGAAGACTGCTTCGTAGTACATAGGTTTTCATACTTTAAGATGCCACCTCTTGCTGCAACAACAATTGCTCAAATGATATGCAGTGTATAGTCACTGCATGATAATACTGTGATCAATGATCGATATATTCAATTATTTATTTTCATGATTGATCTTTTATACAATGCAATGATGTGGATGAATTCGGGACATGTTATCCAACGTCCCATATATACTGTTTATTACATACAGTTGACATACTTTACACGAAGTGCTTTACTTTGAAATAATGTGTTTTGTCTTTCTATTTTTACCATGTTGAATGTGTCTGTGAGGTGGAAGGCAATGGATGAATTGAAGGGTAGAGACCCTTCCAGAGGTTTGTAAATATGTTTACCATCGGTATAGTGACAAGTTACATGCAATACCCAATTTTGAAAAGGTTATATAAACTGAAGGTCAAAGGAAAATATAACCCTCAAGGCATTTTATCAAATGATTGATTTTCAGTTGAAAATATATTAAGTTACGATATAATATCCAAAAATAATCCGTAATGACGCTTAATCAGCTCTCAAAGACTAGTTCTACATGTTTTTAAGATATGCATTCATTTATAACTTTAAAAAAAAAAAAATCACAGATTACACAACTGAAGATTGTAAACAACCGTTACACAACTCGTTAAAAATCAATACATTTGCAGTCTTAGGCACAAATTTTCATTTTCAAGAATTGTAGGAGCCATGTGGTTGGAAATTGATATATTTTCTTGAAGAGAGGGACTGTTACATCGACATCAGCCAATTTAACAACAGTTCTCTCAATTGTCAATTAAATAAGAACAAACTCGGTATACCATCTTATGTTCCTCAGTTCATATTCATTTTCTGACGACAAAATTAACATACAAATACTGAAATCACAAAATGAAATCGATTATCACAGTTAGGTTTTGTGATGCCAATGCTCTTTTTCTTTCAATGAAACATGAAATGTTTTTCCCTTCGTTTTTTGACAATACTCATTTGCATCCATCACCATATAGCTGGAATATTCCTGAGTGCTGCTTTAAACAACAAAACAAGCATTTGCTTCCTTTGCGATACCGTTGTTGAAACAGGGTACCATCTGTTGCCAGGGGTCGGACCTAGCCAAGACGTAAATCAAAATATTATAAATTTATATAATTACAGACATGTTGGGTCTGTCAGGACATGTTGAAATAATAAAGTGGATGTTTTTCATGTGTACATAATGTCCGGCCTATGTCTATCTGTGTATGCATTAGAATGTCGTCATGCATGAGAAGTTCTTCTTGATATATGAAACGAAATCTAAGTGTCAAGGTCATTGTTAGCCACGTTATGCTTTTATCACACAGTCGACACACTTCAGTAAACCCCGTTCCTCAAGATTTGCATTCCCACTACCATCAACATTCCCTTAATTTTGGGTGGACCTCTGAATGATTACCCGTCTGTAATGCATATCCAAAAAGGTGTAATTGTTATAATGCCTTCGAAAACAAATATCCTTTTCCAACTTGTGTTTGCATTTCAAGATTGATATTTTGGGTGTTTTAGTTTCCTTAATGTTCTGTGATACATTTTGTTATGTATACAAATGAAAGTGTAAGATATATGTGTCCCTATTCTTGCCTGTACAACTAGATGTAAACAAGGTGTTGTATTTCTCTTTGTGAAGGAAATGTACGTTGATTTACCCTAACGTTCGGAAACATCCTTTATATCTCATCTCCGATTAATCAGCATACTATTCATGTACCATGCTTCTCATCATATCCATATATCATATTCTTCTTCGTGTGCATTTAGCATTTCACATTAATGCAATGTCTTCATCATCGTATCTGTGTGGCATACTCCTGATGATGTCCATGGGTCATATTCCGCTTCATAGATCATAAATCGTCCGTATGTCATAGTTCCTCATCATATCGATATATCCTGCTCCTTATGATAGTTGTGCATCAAACTTTTATCATATCTATAGATGATACTCCTTATCATATTAAAGCATCAAAATATGTTCATGTCCACACATCCTACTCCTTATCATTTTTTTGCATCACATTTATTATATCCTTATATCATACTCCTTATCACATTTATGCATCACATTTTATTATATCCTTATATCATACTCCTTATCATATTTATGCATCAAACTCTTATCATATCCATATATCATACCCATGAACCTTCCATGTGTCGCATTCCCCTTTATATCATTCTCATAATGATACCATTATATCATACTCCTCGTGATATCCACGCATCATACTCATTATAAATGAATATCGATCAATGAACAACGAAAAGGTAACTCGACATTCTCATGGTAGTTTGGAACCGATTTATGCATGAAATTTTATATATTCCTTCTACAACGCGACTGAATTTTTTTCATGTAAATAAAGTGTAAAGGTTCAGAAGATTATGCCTCTTTTAATCAAATTTATTATCGTTTTGAAGTCTTTGTGACAGTTAAACAAAAAGTATTCTTCAAAATATTGAGTCCAAAAATGCAAGAAGCCTTGTTCATTGTCTGACGATACTCCTACCAACAAAGTAACTACTTTGAAGAAAAAAAGAATGTAAGCCACAAATAGTTTGTATTTAAACCGAAAACTATACAGGTGTTATCAATAAATGTACCTGTACGTTCTGTAAGGTTCCAATAAATCAAAACTGCAGTTAACCTTTCTGGTGTCTCTGAGTCTTGCAAAACATATACCGAAGCAGTCAAAATGCTTTGATGTCATTTATTTAGCAGTCATCTGGTTATAAAGTAATGAAATAACCAAAGAAGGAGCGTCGACACAGGCCGATATTTGCTAACATAACACTTCGACAAAGAATTACACTGATCATGTTATATGTAAATAATTGGGTTATTTGTTTCACATGTACATAGGGTACGAATTTTGAATATATATACATTTTTCTCTGAATATTTTCATTCATTGCATCCCTGGTATGGTATGTTAACAAGTGAATTGTAATGTCAACCATTATTTATATATACTGGCACTGTGCAATGCTGTAAATTGTGGTTTAAATGTATACATATTCGACAGATCTCATGACAACCGGTGTTAAAAGAGGCTCAAAAGAGGGGCAGTGCTGTATAATATACTACTCACAGTTTGCTAAGGATCACAAAAATTCGTAACTTTACTAAAACGCAGATTTATAATTTGAAATTGTATCCATTTAAAACTGGATAAATAATGATACGGTAACCCATCTTTAGGCAAATAGTCACTTTAATCTAACCTTATGCACTTGATACATGAGTAACCATAAAAATGGTTTTCATGGCACCAATCAACCATTTTGCTAATGATGGAACGAGTCACTGACAAGTACACAACACCTGTCAGTAGCAGGTATGGGATCCACAAGATGCAGTGACATACAGAAACCTAGGATCCATGCTTACAATAAGCTTAGATATTTAATCCAAATTTGACCCCACATCATAGGTTTCTATTGAATCCATGATTTGATCCTTAGCAAAGTGTGAATAGTATATGGAAGACTTAAGGTTTTGAAAACGATCAACCACCACCAGCCATTTGTGATAAGTATATCGCTGCTTGGGGGCAAAACTTATTTTTTCCAAGAATCATAGTCTTGGATTCGCCTTTTCCTATGAGAGGTTTGTAACATCCTGCTTGTGGGAATTTGGCTTTGTTATCATTCTTTGTTATCACTCAGCCTTAGCGTTGTTAGATACTGCTTTTGTGTTTTGTGAGAACTTGGTAGAGGTAATATCAACTTGGAATAAACTTAGTTTCAAGAAGCTAAATAATTATTTCATTCTCAGTAATGTGACTGTGGAAACTTTAACAGTTGCTCATCATACCAGACGAAAAACTGTAAATAATATGTGTCGTGTTTATTTGGGCCCTAGAGCGGAATGCAAAAAGATATAGATAAACCATTTGTGTTTATGAATGCAAATGACAAGATATGTAAGACTTTTTTAGTTATATATGGCATCGTTCCAACTGAGGTCAGGCTCTGATTTCTCGAAATAAACTTAAGTTTTAAATTTCAAACTGAGTTTGACAATTTGAAACAGCTGAATTTTTAACTCAAGTGCATTTTTAAAATAAAAAGCCCAAAGAACTTAAGTAATCTATCCACCAATCTCAAATTGTTTACTATGTTT